TATAGTTAATTAATTAATTAAAAATAAAGTTATAAATAACAATTGTTATAATTATAATTAATAAAACCATATATTTATTTTATTTAAATTAGTTAAAACATAGTTTGTAAGTAACCTAAATATCGTTCAGTTACTTAACAGGGTATATGGTTAATTAACTTTAAGATATTTAGGTTACTTCTCAAGTGTAATAAAAATAACGTCTATTTTTAAATATTTCCTAAAGTTTTTGATAATATCAAAACTATAATATATATCATTATTAAAAAGTATGTTTATGTTTAAGTATAGTCATGGTAAAAAAGGTTGTTGAGTAAAAATGGTTGTTGATTGAATAAAGGTTCGGTTTATTTTTACATTTCAATAAAATTTACACTTATAGTGTACCTTTAATTGAAGTTGTTTTCCCTTCAAACAAAACTAAAAAGAACATATTATTCAAATCAAAACGAAAAAAAATAAATAGAAAATGAAGGGAAAGAAGATTTCTTCTCATTTATAAACAATAACAAAAAACAATAACAAAAAGATGATAAAAGTTTCAATTAGATGAATGCTCTAGTCAATGGCAAGAGTATTTTATGCTTTAAACAAGTAAAAAGCCAATCATCAAAAGAAACGCTAAACCTATACGGTCAACACCTTCTGTATTAACAAAACGTAAACAAACTCCACAATTCTACCTTTTTGACAACCAGTATTGGTTCAACTAAAGCAAATAAAGCTATCGATAAACACATTGAATAAAGAGAAATAAAAAAAACAAACAATAATAAGCAGTCGTGAAAAAAAAAGATTGTCGATGTTATAATAATTAAGGAAAATGCAGTTGTTACTTAAACGCAAGTAAATAATAAAAATATCAGTTTAATTGATCTGTTAAATATGTAAAAATCAGAGTTGATCTGTAAAAACTTAAAGTTTACAAGATGTTATAATTTGACAATTGTATCAAAAAGACGTTTTTAAAACCATATTTTTATTATTTTAAACTTAAATAATATTATCAATGATTGAATAATAAAAATAAATATCATTTTAAATTCCTTTTGAACTTGTGTACTTTAATTAATCTTACAGGTCAGCCCAACTTAAATTGAAATTATCAGGAAATATTCAAAAAATAAATCATACATAACACAAATTTTCAATCATTTTAAAATGCCTTCGTTTTTATCAATGTTTAAGTTGCTTCTTCTTCCAGGAAAGGCAACGGGAACTACGCAAACCTGTTCTCCCAAAAACTCTCGTATTCGGAAGGCATACTCCCTACAGTAGAAAATTCTGACATCATAAGTACCCTCTTTTTCTTTTCCAATTGGCTTTTTTACGTAACCACACATGTGAAAGGCTGAGGTGTTGTTGTTTACGCAGGCAATTTTGAACGATTGGATGATTTCAACGACTCTTTTTGTGACCATACAAACAGACAACTCTTCCAACTTAGCAGCATCTATTGCACCATCTTGATCCTTGAGTTCTAAAATTTCCATTTTTCTTCGCTTTGTAGCCTTCTTGACTTCATCTTCAACATCATCTTTTTGAGACATAACACCAACGGGGTACTTCATACCAACAAGTCGAGAAACTACCTAAGAACCCATTGCTCTCTATCAGTCAATAACAATCAAATAAAAGTAAACATGTTAACAAGACTTATAACGGCTTTGAATAATAATATTATTTCAGTAATTTCTCTCATAATAAAAAACAAACTTTTTGAACGCCAAATATGACGACGTCCAGTGGCTGAGACAAGTGGCTACTGTGTGGGCACAATAATAATAAAGCCACTTTATTTTCGAACAGCCACTTTCTAGCACCATCTTTAATGTGGCTAACACAGTTGTCTTGTATTAAAACCGCCCATTCTTGTGGGCAATTTTTTCTTCTTAATTCCAGTTCTGGTTTAAAACATCTTTCAAGCCACAACGTGTATATGTCTTCCGTAATGAAGGATTTGCGTTGATATGCAATTTCAACATCATCTCTGTCTATGTATCTGTCGATTTCATTTTTCATTGTCAAGTTTGATAGTATGATCATTGGTTTCAGCGTGGTGTTGTTGGCAAATATTCCTGCAATCAATGTTATGCGTTTTTGAGAGCGATCAACAGAGTAAGAGTTGGTGTAGTCATAGTTGTCGTCAACATAAAAGTTGCTCCTTTTTGAGTCCACAAATGGACAATAACCACTTTCGTCCATGTTGATAAGGAGGGAGGGTTTAACTCCATTCAAGTGGACAACTCTTTCGCCGGCATATTGTTTGTCATTGTTCAACAAATCAACAGCTCTAGTTTCATAGCTTCTTAACTCATCTTTACTCAGCTCAGCTCTCTCTTTATCCATTGGTTTTGCAATCTTCTTAATTAAACCCTCCCTTCTCAAACTGTTTGCGATGGTTCTTTTTGATACTTTCTTCCCAACAACTCCTTCTACAACATTTCCCATCTCTTTAGTGGTGATTGGGTTGGTGGTGTTTTGTCTTTCTCGAATTGTTTCCAACAACAACGGCATTCTCGATTGATTAATTTCTCGTTTTCTTCCAGACTTCCCTTCGACATCGTCATACAAGTTGTTGAGGCGGGCCGTCGAGGGTGAGACACCCAACACTTTGGCTTTCGTTTCAATTGAAACCTTTTCAAGCCATTTTTCACTTCTCAACAATTTCATTTGTTGTTGGAGTGTTAGACATTCCATGATTTCTGTTGCATGGGTTTCACAGAAATCCAAAAAATCACAGCCACGACCTGATTTGGTATTGTGGCGCAACACGCTCAAATCCAATTTTTTTGAAGCGGGTTTTCGCTGTGGTTTGGACATGATTATTGAGTTCTGAAACCAGCTGTATTTATTAATTTTATTATAATTAATGGTTAATTTTATTAATAATTATATTTTGAAGTGTTTCGAATAATTGTCTTTATTATATCCCAACAATTTGACATCTAATCGCAATATATAATTATAAAATTTGGGTGATTTCCCGTTTCTTTATGTAACAATTGACTCTTTATTTTCTATTTTTCATGTTATCAAGAAAATAAATTTAAAAAACGATTGTGTGACCATAACTTTGATACTCATGATTGTGTATAGTTTGCTTCCAATACAAATGTCGTTTGTAATAAAGAGGAGTACTCATATTTAACAATGATATAATTTTTCAATTTCATTTCTTATTTTACTCAAAAAATGAAAGGGGGTGAAAAAAAGCACTTTCATTTTCTTTTTTTGATAAACAACAATGATTATAAATAATGTAATATCTATAATGTTCAATAAACAGCTCTTAATGTTATACAATTGACAACCAATTGTAATACTGTCAATTATCGTTTTTATGATTATCCTTGTTTGTGTTCTATTTTTCGAACATGGTGAAAAAAAAGCACTATCATTTTTTCAGAAACTATATTAACTATATTGAACTATACTTGTTTTTCGAATTACAAAAAAACAATTTTCGATTCAAAATTGAAAATGTTATACATTTTATAAAATCAACACACAAAAATGTTGAGATTGAGAAGAAAACAATTTGTTTTAAAAATACACTCCTTTGTTATAAATAGTTTTATTTGCTCAAAAACATATTTTCAATATTATTTCAATGATGCGAAGAAATTTGTAACTTTTCTTGAAATACAAAAATAAACCGAACCTTTATTCAATCAACAACCATTTTTACTCAACAACCTTTTTTACCATGACTATACTATTATTAAAATGACAATACAATTATAATAATTAATATAAAGAAAAAATTAAAACTCAAAAAAATAATTTGAATGGAAACCGAAAAATATGTTTATTCAACAAAAAAAGATAAAGGAGAAATTATAAACATATTTGAATGGGAATTATACAACGTCGGTTGTATAAAACAGTGTTGTAAAGATGTTTATAAACAACCCATTCTTATAGATACTCCTATAAGCGAAATGGAACGTTTTAATTTATTTTTTAATCAAGAAATGAAAACTTACATTATTATAATCACAAATGAATGTGGAATGGTTATTTTTGGCAAAGAATGGAAACAGTTGTCTTTTGATGAATTCGACGCGTTTATTGGAATGTTATTATTCAACGGCGTTGCTCATGACAATAAAAAGAGTTTGAATTATATGTATGGTCTATATGGAAATCCATTTTATCGTTCAGTATTCAGTGAACACAGATTTAAACAAATTCTGAGGGTAATTAGATTTGATAAAAACGCAAAGAACAGATTCCTTTTAAGAATAAAACAAAAAGAAACTGATTCATCTTTGAAGACATCGATAAGCAAAAAGTTGACTGAAATTAAGAAGTCAAAATTGGGGAAATCGTTATATTCGCACGTTTCACAATTTTATTCTGAGAGAGAGAAAGAGTCATTAATTTTGGAAGTCGATGACAGTTCGAGCGCAAGTTCAACAGATGATGATAGTGATAAAGATGATGATAACGGAAATGACACAGACAGTGGTGATTACACTGAAAACGGTGAAGTGGATAAAAGTGAAAAGTGTAAAAATGATGGCGAACTTTGTGAAGTCAACGACAAAGAAAAAGAAGACAGCAAAGACAATATAGGAAACAAAAAATTCAACTTGGATGAAACTGAAAATGAGTTAAAGAGTTCATCAACAGTTGCTCTTAAAGAAATGGTTATGCTTGAAGATAAAACGGGATTTGACAAATTCAGAGACATATTCAACTTCTTTTTAAAATCTATTGGCAACGTTTACAATAACAAACAAATATCAGGAAGTATATGTATAGATGAACAGTTGGTTAATTACTATGGAAATTGCAAGTTTAGACAATACATGCCATCGAAACCTGGCAAATATGGCATAAAACTATGGCTTATGGTCGATAATGTTACTGGTATGATAGTAAACGCCAAACCGTTTTTAGGCAAGTATGGTGAAAGTGAAAAAAATGGAATAACTAAAATAGTTGAAACATGGGTATCTCCTTATTTAGGAAACTACTTTACGTTATACTCGATAATTTGTTTACTACACTTGAATTGGCATTAAAACTAAAACAACTCGACATTGATATGATTGGAACTTGTCGCAAAGAACGTTGTTTTGTTCCCAAATTGTTTAAAACAAAATAAACTTGTAAAAGTTTTATTGCCTTAAAACTTAATTCAATTTGCTGTTCAGAAACTACAAAACCCGACTTTGACCTTTTCTTACTAAATTATTTTGACAAACAATACAAAGCTGTCACTTTTTTATCAACAAAAAACAACAAATGTGTTATAACAAATCAACTGGAATGTTTGTAGTGCAAGACTGTAATAATAAAAACATAAGAGGCGCGGATTGTATTGATAGGATGGTAAGATGTTACTCTTATAAACGATGTACACGAAGATGGACTCTGGCGATGTTTTATAATATAATAGATTTGATGGCAATTAACTCTTATCACCTTTTCAATGGAAACATAACACGTGAAAACTTCTTGATTAATTTGGCGAACAGTTTGGTAAAACCTTGGGTAAAAAAACGAATCAGGTTGTCAGCAAGAATCAGAGAATCAATTGTTAAAAGTAACTCTTTTACATACAAAGAAATAAATGCAACGCGACTAAGTTCGAAATTAATAGAACGACCTGTGAATGAAAAAAATGTGTTATCGTCCCATTTTTAGTCCAATTGATGAAAGATTTTGTTTTATTGATATAGCAAATCGGAAAGATGACAAATGCAAATCAAAAATACATCCGTTTTGTTCAGAAATCAACGGTCTTGTTTATTGCAAACTATGCGATGGAAAATGTAAATCAAGAATTAGAACTGGATGTTACTTGTGTGGAGTACCTGTTTGTAAAAGTCATACCGTCTTTCTATCTATTAATTGTTTCAATGGTTTCGTCGAAATGAATGAATTCCAACCCAAAAAACGAAAAATGGATTGCAGTGAAATGTAACTTCTGTGTGTTATATTAAAAAATGTTGGACTCTTTTTACTTTGTTGATTGACTTTATGTTTTTTTTATTTTTTTTAAATTAGGAAATTGTAATAAATATTACAAGGGTGCCATTCTCAAATTTTTATTTAAAATGTTTTTAAATTTGTTATTCATTCGCAATCCTAAGGTTAAAGAAACATATTAAAACTAAAAAGTCAATAAAAAAGCAACACTCAGAGCACACATCACTCCTCCATTTACAAGAATGAAGGTTGTTGTGCTTGTGGGTTAAGGGATGATGTAGGTGGTTTTGTTGGTAGGTCCTCGTCGAATGCGAAAATGTCGCCCGTGTTTGGTTGAGCAATTGGCACCATAATTTGTGTAGCTTTTGCTGTTTGGAGTGGTGACGGTGACGCCTTATGTGTGTACACAAAAGAGTTACCGGTGTATGATGATGCTTCGAATGGGGATTCTCTTTTAGTGAAAGCTGAATTTCCATAAAATGTTGATGGTGAAACGATACTTCTAGTTTGTGGTGACATAGGTGGTGGTTGTAAGTGTAAAGTAGTTTTCCTTGGTGCTGTTTTAACATCGTCTTTATTTAACGAGACAAAATTGGTGACATTGATCTTCTTTGATCCACTACATATGAGTTTCTTTATTAAGTTAAAACCATGTTACTGTGGAATTTGAAGACTATTTGAGATATATTAATGTAACAAACGTTATTTCATCATCACACTTCTTTATAACTGTTTCAAGACGCTTTCCAATTTCGTCAGCTTCTTTCAGTAATTTGGCGTCATAGCGACTCGACATTCTTCGACAGTACTCGCACTCGACTTTGTATTTTCTACGTTATGAGAATACCATTTAAATAACAAACATTGTTTGACTATGACAAAACAACAACAAACGTGTATAGCTTCTCGGCATGTCTTTTGATCGAATTAATGTCACCAACACCGGTCTCAAAGTAAGTCGACGCCTTTCTTAAAGTGTGTTCGACATGGGGAATAAGCGACGTCAATGACGTCGGAAGAAAAACGGTTGATGTGGTGTTAGGATCTATAACACCATTTTTGCAATACTTTTGTCGCAAGACGACATACTCGCTCAATTCATTTGGGAAGTACGTTCCCCATTTATAAATCAGTTCTCTGACTTTGGCTTCAACGGTGTTGACACTCCCAAACTGTTTCTTCATCTTCCCGATACTCTGTAAGAGCGCTATGAATGACAAATTGGCGACTTGTGTTCTGAAAAGGGGAGAGTTTTGCACGATGTAGTCTGCAAGTGTAAGGATGTTACACATTTGTACATCACTAATCTTCTTGGCATCATACAACTTCATCTTGTCTTCGATTTGATTGCGAAGAATGTGGTCTGCGGAAGTTATCTTCTCGATGACTGAGAGAATGGTCTGCATTTCGGTTTGCGTCGGAGAATCTTTCGCGTCATCACCCGCCGCGTTAACCAAATCGGAAAGCTTTACACTCATCTATTGTTTTCAAGGTCCACTTCTTTTTATAGGGATTTGGAAATTACTATACAATTATAGTACACATATTATAATAAACCTATACTTCTGACCTTGTTTTGAGGTGATTTGAAACTTTGTATTTGCTCTTGTTGGAATGTGTTTCTGTCCTGTTTTAACTATTAAAAGAATTATTTGTTTGTAAGTTGAAAGAATGGTTTGGTCGACAACATTTCAATTGGAAGCATGGCATGATTTTTTTAGAAAAACAAGATGTATTATTAAAAAAGACTTAAAAATGTGGGATAATAGGATTAGTTATCAAAATTTGAATATTTTACTCCAATGTTGGAAGACTCCAATTTCTTTGTGGAAGTTACTATTTTTTAATGTTTATTGATTACCAAAATATTACACATTCTTCACAATACTGAAAGGAAAATGTCCGTTATAAACAAATAGTCGTTTCAAAAAAAATTAACAAAAACTATTATTCACAAAAGAAAAACTATTAAAATAATTAAGTATTAATGATATAGTATAATTTAGTATATCATTTTAATAATTAATATAATATAATAATATTATCATTATTAATATCTTGTTAATATAGTAAAAATAGTTTTAAATAATTAGTTTTGTGATATAAAGACTATAGTATAACTAATACTATTTTAAATACTTATTAATTTTATTTATTTCAATTTATAAGTCACAAAAATACCAAAGAAATTATAAACTTATTATATATTAGATGGAGAGTGTTTATTTAGCGAATTGTGTGTTGTATTTTACCAACTTCACAACACTTATCGAATTTATATTTGTAAGTAAAAATTGTAGGGATGCAGTGGAAATGCTTTATAGAAACCCGTGCACAACTGTTGATACCCCACAAACCCCACCACTTAAATATCTTATCGACCAGCAAATATTTGTGCGAGAGATTCAGGTGTTTCCACATTTGGAAACGATTGAAATTATGAAAGGAAATGTCCCATTACTCCAATTCCTTTTTATGTCGAAACCGCCTTTTAAGTTTAATAGGCGTGCCAGTTTGATCATTAACGACGAAATGACACCAAAAGTCTTTTCGTTCTTTTCGAATAACATAGTTGAACTGAAAAATGTATTTCTGACGGAGAGCGTGGACTGTTCGAAATTTTCTCGACTTCAAAAAGCGAGTTTTGTCGTCTCATCGAACATTAAAATGGACACTGTTTTCCCCGACAAAATGCAGAGATTAAAGTACTTAAAAGTTACTTCGCGAACAAAAGTAGATGAACAGTTTTTAAATGAACTGAAGTCGTATAATATTAATCAAATAGTCGTTGTCTTAGAGTCGAAAAAACAAATTAAAAAGTGTGCAGTGATGTACAAAAACGTCAATAAAGTTATTGTTTGCTCCAACTCGTATTGGCCTGAAATCCCTGCAAATGTCATTGTCATTTCATCGTCTTATTTTGAAGTCACTGGCGGCGCTCTTCCCCAAAAAGTGATTTCACAGTATTTGCCTTCAAAAATCCGATTTAGTTCTTCGAAAGTAATAAATCAGATGCACATTGATTTGAGTCAAGAAGAATGTATAACAGAGATTTGGAGTGGCCTCGATAATTTGGAAATAACGTTTCCAAGGCAGCTTGAAATGTATTTGGGTAAATACACCGAACAAATTGTACGCAGTGATTTGGCTTTAAAAAGACTCTTCTTGGAGAACCCGCCACCATTTCATGTGCCCGATAGTGTCGAATACTTGCAGTTACTCTCTCGCGATTTTTGTATCCAAAATTTTGAAACGATGAAGGTGAAGATGTTACTCCTAGTAGTCCCAACATTTCAATTTGCAAAAGGGAATACTAATATACTTAGCATGTCACTTGTCAACACTCAAATAACACAGTCTTTCAAAGGATTCGAAAATTTAAAGAAACTCAAACTCTATGGATGCACTATTCATTATAATATCGACCAGTTTTACCCAGATAGCTTGGCTAGTCTAGAGTGTTTCCCAGTTAACTTACCATCACATTCCAATGTATTCAAACTGAAAGTGACGAACTCATATACAGATAAATTCGACTTAAGGAAGTTCCAAAAACTTATTGAAGTTGATTTAACAGCATTCAACAATAAATTGAAGTTCCCAAAGAGTTTGGAGTCGTTAGTGTTGACTCACATTAAGGGGGATAAGATTGATATTTCTGGACATACACAATTAAGTTCTGTCTTCTTTGATGAATGCAGTGTGGAGACATGTTTATTACCAAAAGGCATTTCAACAGTCGTGTTGAATAAAAGCCAAGTTGTTCTCAAAAAGATGAAGAAGGTCTGTACAAAGAATCTTATTGTTGTAGAGAGTTCAATCAATTTGTTTGATATTAACAATGAAACTCTTCAACTCCTCATGTACGACAATGATATGGTAGTCACTGATATAGTGTTTTCAAATTTCAAGGCACTTATCTTTCCTCCTTTTAAGAAGGCATAAAATGTTACTATTGTTTATAAGTATTGTTTTAGTTATATTACCATTACTGTCTTGTTGTAATTTTTATAATAACTTATTCTATTAATTTACTAATATTAACATAATAATATTAATTTTTTTTATAGAAAATTCTAGTTTTAAACATTCTAAATAAAAATAAAAAAAAGAATTTCAAAAATATAAGTTACTGTTTAAACTATACTTATGTTATTTTTTATAGTATAGAACTTATCTATAAAAAGACAAACCTCAAAATAACGTCCCAATGATTTTAAGTTACAAACGGGAAAAAGACGAAAAGAGAAAGCCACGTCAATGAAGTTTTGGCAAAAATAGAAATGGATACAAACTATATTTAATTATACAAAGAATTAATAACGAGTGGATGATGACAAGAAAAAAGAGAAGGGCTTCAATATAAGGGCAAAATTAAACTCTAAAATACGGACCAATGCAAATTTTTGTGAAGACCCTCACTGGAAAGACTATCACTCTTGAGGTTGAACCAAACGACTCAATTGATGCCATCAAGGCAAAAATCCAAGAGAAGGAAGGTATTCCCCCAGATCAACAAAGACTTATCTTCGCCGGCAAGCAGCTCGAAGAAGGAAAGACCTTGTCTGACTACAACATCCAGAAGGAGTCCACTCTCCACCTTGTCTTGAGATTGAGAGGTGGGTTTTAAATAAAATTCGTCGTCTCCTTTGGATTCGTCGAGTTTTGTAAGCCATTTTACTTTACTCATTCTTTTGTTATATATAACATTTTTTGTTATTTTAAAAAAATTTTTTACAAAAGTTAATTATATTTTTTTTTGAGTGTTTTGGGTATAACTCTGGAACGTTTGACCAAATCTTCATTAATAACAATAAAAAATTCTATTATAATATTATTCTACTTTAGTTTTTCTCTTCGTTTAATACTGAGATATAATTTTGGGAATGAGGTTTTTTTGGTGATGAATCACTTTTTAGAAAGTACCCAAAACTATAAAAATGAAAAAATAACCAATTACTTAATTGATAATAATGTACAACATGTATCTTTTTTATTGTGTTTTGTAATATAATCAAGTGTAAATGATAATGGAAATTTTCAAGAAAGCTTTTATAAAAAATTTAACTTACTGACAAAAACTAAAAAATCAATGATTGTGTTTTTGTATGATGTGGTGAATTCAATCATATACCCAATTCTCTATTCAATCGTTTTGTTTTGCATTTTGGCGTTATACACACACTCAGATTTTTTTAATGAACATCTGAACGCAATTTGCTCTTATTATGAAAAAATAAAAGTTAAGAAAAGAACCGATAAAGACGTTTTGTACCTTCCAAAATATGTTCAAATTCCTCAACATGACATTTCAAGATACGAAAATCATCCCGTTCAATTGACACATTTTGAGAACGGCGAGGTTGTCCAAAACCTTCGCTTGAAGTACGAAAACAAAAATTTGTTTTTCATCGATGGGAAAAATGTTATTTGTCTTCCATTAACAAAATCATTAACCGTTTCCATATTTCGATACAAAAAGGAACCTCAATTCAACGACTTATTTACGTACAAAAAGGAAGTTCTTACCCCCGAAGAGATCGCATACAACAAATACAAAGAAGCAAAATGTGAGACATTACAACAAAAACTGGATTACTTTACACACATTTCCGACGAAGAAATGTCTCAAATAAAGCGTTTTAAACGAAGAAAATTCAAACAAAAGAACTCAATTGAGATCAAAGGAATACCTCAAACTTTTCAATATGGAGATACTGTTTTACTTCACTTTGACAAGGAAGAATTACTCGAGTTTTTTTATTATCCGATCAAGATGTCTGTAAAAAGTGTGAAGCACCAAACTATCATTCAACAGCACTTCAGTTCGTTGATAACAAAAATCACTGAAAAGAACATTTCCGATATCGAAGCAAGGCATTGGAGTTGTGGAATCAACTTTCTCCTTCATCGTCTTTTCTTTCAGTTTTTTGATAACCACAAAATTACCGCTAAAATCATTGAGAAATTTCAAGAAAAGGTGAGGTACTCACAATTACCTCCTTTAGTAAAAATGATGGATTTAACGGAACTTAATTTTGGTCCAAAGTTGCCTCTCATATCGTTACCAAAACTAATTCACTCCGATAAAACGGGTAAGACGATCATAGATTTTGACATCGAATATTCAGATGGAGTCCAAATGTCAATCGACGCCACGTTGCAGCTCCCATTAAAAAGTTCGCAGACTCACGTCAAAGTCGGACTTGCTGTCAAACAGTTGAAAGGGAGATTGAAAATGATGTTTTTACAAATCCCGAGCGAACGCGTCTGGGTGGGCTGTGATGAAGATCCAATTTTAAACATCATCTCTGAAGTCAAATTTGCGGGAAAAGAGGAAAAGGAAGAAAAAGAGAAAAAAGATGAGAAAAACGAAAATTCAATCTCGAGTGTCATCGCGTACTTTGTCAAAAAGGAACTCATCATGAGCTCATTTTTAAACCCTTATATGCAGGGTTTCCGAATTCCGAAGAAAACTCAGGACAAAAAAGACAAAAAGGTGCCATCGCTGGAAAATGTACCCAACGCGATCGAGCAATACAGAAGAATGAAAAAAATGTTCAAAAACGCCAAAAAGGAGAAAGAGTGAATACGTCAAGATTTGTTTATTTAGTTCAAAATTGTTTTGTATTGAGTTGCATTTTAAGATTTTTATAAGGTTTGAAATGTTTTAGTTTTTCAATTTTAGTATTGGAAAACAAGATTAATCATTTGACTAATGAAATAAAACGTCATAACAATCAGAAAAGTGATGAGGTAAAAGAATTGACGGAACGACCAGATACTTAAGTGACAAAAATCTTAGCATACAGACTGATTCAGATGAAAATTGTGGGAACGAGCCGGTTCTTGTCAAAAGAAAACAACTAGTTTGTTTAAAAAACATAATGTTAAAAACATCAATTTATTTAAATAAATCTGAACAACAAATTCGAAAACTCGAATTTGTTGCGGGCGTCCTTCTACACGGACACAACACACTTGCAAACATGAAAAATTTGCAGTCGATGTGAGAAAAATCCAATGAATTAGGGGTGAATTTTAATCCGTTCGATTTTCTTAATTATAAGATTTAAATTATGAGATTTCAACTCCACATCAATTAAATTCCGGCCCGAATCAGGCAAAAATTTCGGGTTAGTGGACTTTTGCTTTTTGTATTTTTACATTTTTTTTTATTTTTTTTGTTTTTTTTTGATATTTGTCTATAAAAAACAAAACGAAAGTTCGACTGCCTTTTGTTTTTTTCTATGAGTTTTGTTTTAAATGAAAATACGAAGCTTTTTTGTACCAAAACGGGGAGAAAAGTTTCAATGACGAATAATTTAAAAATAGTAAAACAACTAGTTCTAAATGGTTCCAGTGTTTCCACTTGTTTTTTGTCGAAACGAAATCCAAAAAAAACTGTTTTCGGATTAACCACCGGAAGTTGTGGACATTTTTGTGGAAACTACCGGGAATGATGAGCGGAAAGTAGAAAAAACCAAACCAAAAACAAAGTAGAAAGAAATGAGAGAGTGAGAAGAAAGATTCATGTGGTGACGATTGCAACAGAATATAAGTAGTGTATGTAACTCGAAATAACAAATAACAATGCTTGCAAAATACATCCAAGAAAACTGCACTAAAGGCACAATGATTAGAAAGATGTCCGCTTTGGCCACTAAGATGAGAGAAGAGAAAGGCGCTGAAGCCATTTATGATATGACAATTGGTAATCCACAACTCCCCCCACCTAAAGAATACTTGGACGCTCTTGTCAAAATAGCTCAGGAAGAAAAGCCAATGTGCCACGGATATTCAACATCAAACGGTGACTTGGTTGCAAGAGAAACTATGGCAGAAATCGTCGACCAATTTGAGGAAGTCAAATTGACGGCAGAAGAAATAGTAATGACATGTGGTTGTGCTGGTGCGTGTAATGTCTTCTTACGAACTGTGCTCGAAATTGGCGACGAAGTCATCATTTTTTCGCCATACTTTTTGGAATACCCATTTTATATTGAAAACTATGGTGGTGTCCCTGTCAGAGTGAATACACGATTTGAAGACGGATGGCAAATTAACATCGATTTGCTCAAGGAAAAACTCACATCAAAGACACGTGTTGTCATCATCAACTCCCCCCAGAACCCAACCGGTGTTGTATATACACAAGAAAAGATTGACGAAGTTATGGACTTGCTTAGAGAACAAAGCGAGAAGAACCAAAGACCAATTTGGATCTTGAACGATGCTGTGTATTGCAGAGTCGTCACAAAGAACGCCCCAAAGTTCTCTATTTTCCATAAATATCCTTATGCTGTTATTGCTTACTCACTCTCTAAAGATGTTTCCATTGCAGGTGAAAGAGTCGGCTGTCTTGCAGCAAACCCATTGGTACCAAACTACCCGGACTTGATTAAGGCAATTGCCACATCAAACGAAATTCTCGGATTTGTTCACACAAACAAATTGCACATGAGAATTCTGCCACTAGTCGCGCATGCTATTGTCGACTTGTCGCTCTATGACAAGACCAGAGAAATGATGTGCCAGTGTCTCGACGAGATGGGGATCAAATATATCAAGCCAGAAGGTGCTTTTTACATCTTCCCAAAAATTGGCGAGTACGACGAGTGGGAGTTCTGTAAGACATTAGCAGAAAATGGCATTGTAACAGTACCTGGTAGTGCGTTTGATGCTGAGGGATACTTCCGAATCTCGCTCTGCCAACACCCCGATGTCTTCAAGGATTGCATCCCTGTGTTCAAGAATGCGTACAAAGCAACCATTGAGAAACTGGAAGCCGACAAAAAGAAATGAAGCTGGGTTCATTTATTGGTCATTTATTCAAACATTTTAGTTCTTTTTATTACTTTATAACATTTCAAGTATTATATTTAATCTAATAACTGATTTACTGTAGTTTGTGGAATAATAATAGTATATATAGTATACAATAATAGTAAAATGAAAAAACAAAATAACACATTAAATAAGAACACTATTACGTGGAATGGGGATGGCAAATGAGAGTGAACAATTGCTTGATGATAGAAGTGATTGTCAATGTGATGTAATCGTCTGGGATTTCCGAGAATGTGTTAATGAGCACTCCACTCTCATACCTATACTTTTCAACGAGCGATGTGTATTTGAGGAGTTTCTCGAGCACAAAAGAGGCACTATCCGAAAACGCGGAGTGTCTGAAAATCATGAGAATGAACACGATGACATTGATAATGGGATATGACAAATTCTCTGTCTTCCAGTCCAACGAAGTGAGTGCTTCGACAATATCGGAAGTCTTCTCTGTGTTGAAATAATGTGACAGTATCATATTCACATAGAGCAAGACTTTCTTTCTTTCTCCATGTTTTATCAACTCGAAAATTGCCTTTGGGTTGAGTAAATATGCATTGACCATTGCAACAAAACAAATAGAGTATTCGTCTTTGAGTTGTTTGATGTCAACATTTTGGTTGCAAAGCATCGTCTCTGTCAAGAACAAGTCGACCAAACACCTTCTTGCAGCCCCATTTTTCAGACTCGAGTTGTTGACAATGTGAAGGAACATGACTGGTGACTCTTGGAAATTGAGAAGACAAATCAATTGATAGAACTGTGGAGTGTTCATATATGTTGTGATGACAAACCTGTCCTGGAAGAACTCTCTAAGCTTCCTGTACACTTGTGTCTTCGTACTAATACTCAGATATTGTGGAATGACTGGTTCCGAGTCCACTAAAAATGGAGAACATAATATAAGTTCATTAAGTTCCATTGCTTGTGTAAAGATGTATCGATTTCTTCTGTGGTTTGAACAGTCTGATGTTATTAACAATGACACTAAAATAGATAGAAGTCTCTGGTTTGGATTTTCTCTGTCAAGAAGTGAACAAACCAAGTCCACAAGTTGTTCAGTATATGATGTGATTGTTGTGTACGTTCGAATGCATTGAATGGCTTCAAGTGCCTCCAATTCACTCGAAACGGGTGTTGCTCTGTAATTCCAAAATTCCGAGTGGAGTAATTCTTGGGATGAATTGACATAGCGTCCGTCCTTGAAAACGGGAAGCACACTTCCGTACTTCGACTGCGCGTCTCCAAGTCTTCTTAAGAACAGTTCATGAATCACATTTTCCATCAACGGCAAAATCATTGAGGAATAGTGTTGTGCGTTTGTTTGGGAATACAGTGGTGTAAACATTTTCTCTTGAACAATGCCATCTGTCTTAGTGTATTTATCATTCCTTGAGAAAGGTGCATGTCCTATGAAGTACGAGTTATATAACAAATATCCATTCTCATAATTCAGTGGCGTAAAAAGAAGTTCTTTCATTAGAGCACTCGGCACCTTGTTTGCTTTCGAGTAAATCAGATCCGACATCTCGCAGAATTGGTCCAATGGGTCGCTTGGAGACGATTTGAGTACAACAGAACAGTTCAAAGTGTTCTCCAAAATCTTGAAGCTGATGCCAAACTTTGTGAAATGGTAAAGAATGGCTTCGTAGAGTTTGAAAGATCGATAAAACTGTGGGATTTTGGATAAGTTTTTATAAAACTGCACCTCAGAGGGTTGGCCATAGCGCAAGTACTTTGTGATTAAGTCGATGGTGTTAATAGTCATCGACGTAAAGTCGATCAGAAGTGGGTCAAATCGTCCGTTCTTCATTTCTTTGATCAATAGCTCTCTGAGCATTTCAGCACGCTCAGCCTCACACGTCTCTGTGAATTCTTTGATCGCTTCTTCCAACGTCGAAACAATCCCGAACTTCGCTCCAATCGTGACGACTTCTCCTGTGATCAGTTGTGTCTTTTGTTGTGGGACCAACGAGTCGATAGTGTCGTTGATACAAGTAAAAGACTGGAAAATCTTTTGGTTGTTCGAGTCTTCAATTTTCATTTCAATTTTGACGTTTTTGTCTGCGTAATACTTGAGCGCGGGATGGGTGAACTCATCGACATAACTTGTTGAGTGTTCGACAAGTTGTTTATAAGCGTCGGGTCTTTCATTGACAGGGAATTTATTAATTTCTTTTAACGCATCTTTTAATAATGAGTTGATTTGGTTTCTTAACGAGAAGGTGTCGTTCAAGTAAAACAAGTCGTGGTTAAAAATAGATCCCCACAACAAGTCTTGATGTGTTCTAAACAGTGCCCTTGAAATGGGATCTGTTGCATTCCCGACTTTTGCTAGAAACAGCATCGATTCGTAAAATCCTTGAAGTAACACACTCATGACGGTTGAGTCGTGGTGAACCTTTTCGTTGTCTTTATACCTGTCAGAGATCATATCGTAAAACTCGTGGATGGAACACAATTTGTCTTCTGTTCGTGGTTTGAAAATGTCGAACAAATCATCAATGCCATATTGATCGAATGTCTTCACTCCTCTCATTGTCATAATGGTATTGTACAATATCTGTGCAGATACTCCAATTTCAATAGCACTCAGACAATGATAATTTGGGTGATAATTATCAATCCTTTGTACATACACTATGAACTTTTTGACGGACTCTACATCTTCAAAATTGATGGAAGTAATCCCTGGAATGACAAAGTGTGACGGAATGTTTTGTTGATACAACGACTTGAAGTTGTCAACTTGACTTGCGTCCTTCTTGTACTGTGCAAACAATTTTGTGTAAAGCGACTTGTAATTGATTGATAAACTCTCTTCAATATTGTGCATAAACACATTGGTCTTCTTTGAGACTGTGAAGTCCGGGGCTCCAATAGTAAATCCTGCTTTACAGAATTTCAACGTATAATCCATTAATATACACCTCTCGTCGTAGTCCAATGAAAACCCATTGATCATATCAGATACAACCAAATTAGTAAGAATGTTTGTTTGAAGCCAAACACTCTTATCTTTACATTTCTGTGGTACCCATTGATTAGTAATCCCTTGTAAGTCGGTCAACGTATATCCTTTCTGTTGATACTTTCGTTTCCTTTCCTTCTTTATGTCATTATACAACTTCACAGAACAGTTCAAACGATTTGGTCCTGGTTGCCCACAACTCGGTTTTGGCTTCACAATTCCTTCGACAAAACTTTCTTCACTTCCGCTCTCTGTTCTCACATTAATCGTTGTTGCATCAAAAGAAACACTTGAAGACACAGAACGCACCGGGCCAGACATATACTTTGTCCTTCGCTTTTCTTCGAATGAAGGAGAGACCGAACAATCAATTCGCTTCTTCTGTGGCTTTGAGAAAGCTCGAAATATTGAGGAATTGATTGAATTGGAATTATCATTTTGTGTTGGAATAACAGCACCAGAAGATAACGCAGAGAGTTCGTTTAATATTGACACACATGCAAGTAAATGGTCGATGTGATACAACTTGACATATGATGAAATGTCGAAAATGTGGCACGATATGATATCAACACCACATCGTCTTATTAACACAGCCAAGCAATATAACAATTCGTCGACAAACGTTTCAGTTGGGTGCACAGCGTTATGTGACGCGATAGAATACATCTCAGCCATCTCCTCGCCGAATCTTGAGAGTAAAATATTAGAAGTGCATTTCACATTGAATTGATTTGCTTGTAAAATAATTTGTGGGTGGAAGACATTAAGAGAACAGTGGAGCAATCTAAGCACATACTCCAAACATGTATAGTATATCGGGTTCTCCGAACTTTCTTGTGCGAGTGCTGCATATGAGATGATAGTGACTGCATTCGTCAAACTCTTAATTTTAGTATTAACAGCATTACCACTTAATACTGAGTTGTGGCACTGTAATACATGAAAAGATGCATTCATAGCATATGATATCAACGATTTCTTCCTATTCAAGGGGTTTTTCTGTCGTGGTAAAACGTATTTTCTTGGGAAGACCATGTTGTAGGTGTTTCCATATAAAACACAACGAAGTTCATTGACCAAGTAAATAGGGTCATGGATGATTTCATTTGGACTCACCCCAACAGTACCACCAACTTCGGCAGCAGCCTCTCCAATTGCTTCATTCGGTGAACGGAGAAAATAGCGAATAGTATCCCACACTATCGTGTAAATACCATTTCTATGTGGAATTGAAACATGTTGTTGTTCTGCTCTGAATAATTTGTTGAGCTTCAATTGTTGCAAAGATCGTAAGTATGTGCACGTCACCCCAAAAGAGTATGTCACTGGAATAGTAAAGAAAATGTCGACCAACCTCCACAACAATGTCGCGTGTTGTTGAATGTCTGCGTCAATTAGCACATTAATTCCTTTCGCTAATGCCAAATAAGCGGCTTTCACGTTAGCCTCAAGTGAATTTGTGAGTTTAATGAAGCTATCAAAAACGATATTTGGATCGATCGAGAGGAAGCTGAAGAGCTCTGCGTGACGATTACGGGGTTGATTAAACACTGCTGTAATAAGAGTCGAGACAAACCCTATTTGCTCTGTTTTGTCTCTAATTTTGACGTCGTCGATCATACGTATAATTGTGTGTACAAAGTACATGACACTCTCTTTCTGATCACCATGAAGAAGTTGTTCGAAAAGGTCGAACCGGACGTTTAGTAGCAACGACATTATAGCGATAATTGTTTTACTTGCACTATACAATCTTTCATTCTTCTTCTCGCCATTGTTGTCATTGAAGATTTGAATGATCTTTGTCAGTAAAAGAAGTGTACTCTCCGTCTCCACACCCGACTCAAAAAGTGTTGGGGAGTATGCATTAAAGCAATCAACAGCATTGACGATAACTGATGTGATCGAAGTGACGTTGAGCCCAATCCAAATCACAGTAAAGTACAACAAAAAGTAGTTCTTTAAGACATAAATGACTTTTGAGTTTGTCACACTGTGCATCTCCGCAAAAAACCTCAACACACCTTCAAAGTCTGAACGTTTTAATTCTTCGGAATTGATTCCAATAATGCATTTGTACTTATTTGGGTTCTTTAATATGAGATCAAGTGCAGAACAGTTGTCGAGACGAAATGCCGTTTCCAACTCCGGGTCTTCACAAAGCGTCTTTTCTAATGAGTTTAATACAAGAGAAAGGGCGTTAGTAAATTGCATGTTCCCAAACCGAGAAATTGTTATGAAAAATTTGGTCTTGGCCTTCCGCTCAACACCAGAAGCCGCCGAGATGTGACTAAAAGAAATGTTAAGCCTTTGTGTGAATGTTATTGAAATATGAACTGTTTCTATTAACAAACATCATTTCCTGAATACCTTTAGTAAAGAGCGACAACTTAAAAAACTCGTCCAAACAGTCGCTAAGGATTTCGAGTAATGACTCGGGATACGCACCACTCGGCGCACAAAAAACGTTAACAAATTCGTCCCAAATAGCAATGACAATTTTGGGGTAATTGGTGTACTGTTTCACCGCATTTTGTGGTGGATGTCTAAGAATCAAGAAGACTTGTTTCAATGAAAACACAAGACTTTTCAACGAGTTTGATACAGTTTGGGATTTAATTGCTTTCAGTGTGTGTTTTGAATAAAACGTGAGTAAAGAGTCGATGACAAAACGGACGTTATTGTCTTTAGTGAGTGTCTGGTCTCTCATCTGTTGGACAATGAAAAAGTCCAAAATGCCACGCAAACCAGTTTCAAGTGTGTGCGACAGTTCGGTCGGTAGTAAATCAATTTGTTCTATCAACCCTTCTAATATAGAAGTTGCAGTACTCAAGTCGTTTGCACGGAGACTATGCCGAATTACATCACAGTCATTCAACAATTCTTCACGCGACGTTCGTCGTACGCGCTGCATCAAAGTTATTGAGTTCTTTGTCGGCTTTTTGTGGTTATGGTATTCACTATATTTTTAATAAGTGTTTTTTTATCGGAAGTTATTTGGAAAATACTTTATTTTAACTTGTACTTTTTTGATTGTATTACCGATATGTTTTGTTTGAGACCCTTTTGTTTTATTGTAATAGTATTTATTTAAATAGTTTTAATATTATTGGTAGTTTAATAAACAATCTGTCGTGTTTTGATAAATTTTAAGAAATTTAACAATAATAATCGATCAGATGATTTATATAAATTTTAGTTAAATTATAATTTTATTGTACTCTATTCAAAAGAACAATAGTAATAAACATTACCATACAAATATAGATACGTAAGAGCCATATTTTATTATTTTCTCTTTACAAAATACAAAACGAAATTCCCGAAACACCAAAGAAATTTAACGTAAAATGTTGACTATTACACTTGTGAAATGGATTAAAAAATTTTGTGGATAAACTTAAAAAAACATGAGTACGAGTGACCTAACACCAACTCAAATCACGAAACGGGTGATTGAATTTGTCAAGGTGTGTTTTTGCTTTATTTTAATAAAAGGTGTAACTTACAGGAATCTCTGACAAGTTTTAAAGTTGGTTGTACAGGCACTACACTCAAAAAGGAAGACATCAATGTTCGTTATTTTATTATTATATTATTCATGAAGATTCATATAGAGAATAACGTATAGAAGATTCACGCAATCACCGCAATCGTCGACGGGTATGATGTCAAAGACGAGAGAATTCTTTCAGAGATCATTGAGACGTACTACAGTTACATTCACGATGTTGAAAATAAGTACTACAAAAATTCGGTAGTGATGATCATGGAATTTGTGAAGAAACAGTCTTCGTTTCTACAAAAAGTGTTATTCACAAAAGTCCAAGAGAAACAACAACTCTTTTGGAATTCCATCGAGTACACTAACATTGGATTGTTCTCATCTTCTGACAAAGAAAGGTATTGTGTCGATTACATCAACGGATTTGGCTTTGAAAATTTAGAAGGGTGGATTAAGAACCAACGAGCTCCATACATTCGATACGCTTTGGTTGTTGTTAACTACATCCTTAATGTGAAAAATCACTTTGAGAACATCTATGAAATTATGTATATCTTCAACACACCGGAGCTCATTAAACACCAGACTTTCGTCGACATTTTTACTGCATTTTTCGTCGTGTTGTCAACTAAAGTTCAATTAGGTTTGTTATTCAGATAACTCCAATGAACCCATTTCACCTCACCAATAGAAAGTTACGTGGAAATCTTACGCAGTTGTCTTGATAAGAACACAATGCTCTTTTTTTCTTTTTACCAACGTTTTGTCATTGAGGAATTGTTTTACGTCTGTCAGAGTCGTCTTCAAAAATTCGAGGAGAGAGGTGACCCCTTTTTCAAACAAAATGATTTGTCTCTTATCTTTCAACGAGCAAACGATAAATTGCGACTCCGTGAAGAATACAAGAAGGGTTACAACAATGACAGTTATACACGACAAGCTACAAAACCTTTCAGGAAAAGTCGGAGCCCAAGCAAATCCCGGACGCGTAGTAAGAGTCGGGACTATTCTCATGTCAAACCAGTCGAAAATAAATACACCCCAACTCCCAACATCCCAAATAGTGTGAGTCAGTCCGTCGAACGGACTACTGAGGCTCAAACAAAGTGCTCTCATCAACGGTCGTTCGCTCCAAAATTAACTTCAGACGAACTCAAACTATTCGACGAGAAATTTGCAAAAGGAACAAAAGAGTTATCGCCAAGTTGTTGTGCAAGTCTCAGTGAAGATGTTATGGACACTGACTTTTTGGAAAAGCATCACTTGTTCATCTCGATCTTTATTCCCAAAAACAGTAACTTTGATTGGATCATATCGCAAGCCGTCAATATTGGGAAGTGTCAATGTGACTTCGATTATTCCACTCGAGAACTCATGTTCGAGTTTTTTAGTCACGAAGATGTCATTGCGTTCATCAAGTTTCTTGGGCAACAAAGTGTGAGGTACAAAGAGTTTTAAATATGATTGTGTTGTTTGTTAGATGAACATTATCATTTTTCTATTTAATTCTAATCAAATCAATTAAAAAAAACTATAGTCTAGACATCTTGATCCTTTTTCTTACTTCTCTTCGGTTGCTCTGTTGCTGATTTCATTGTTGAGATTTCAAAAAGTCTGATCGCCTCTTCAACATGCTTTTCTTCGGCCTTATTGTTATATTGTCACATACAATATATATAATATAAATATAATATATTTATAATATATAATAATATGATGCAAAAGAAATAGAAGAACAAACAATATCAGACATGGTCATCTTCGCTAAACTTTCCGATATTCGAATAATGGCTTCTAACTGTCTAACAGTAATTGGAACCCCACCATCATCTTCATAATTTTTCTCCTTTGCCTCTCTCACCTTTTGTCGGATGTTAACAAAATAATCAGCAAGTTTTGACGACGCACTTTCTGTCAGTCGAGGTACACAATACTCCTTACAATATGAGATGTAGTTTTTCAGTGTTTCCACATTCAAATTGTCAACATGGACTTCTTTTCGATGGACATCCAGAATATGTCTAACTATTCTCGAATCATTCTCTTTGTTTGGGACATCTCGTATCATGAAGATCATATCAAATCTTGATAACACAGTCGCCTTCAAGTTGATTGAATTGCCAAATGATGTTCTGTCGTTGAATTTACCAAAAATAGGGTTGGCAGCAGCAAGTACCGCTGCTCGTGCATTTAGAACGGCGGTAATCCCAGCCTTTGCAATAGAGATCGTTTGTTGTTCCATTGCCTCATGAATAGCAACTCGATCAATTTCATTCATCTTATCAAATTCATCGATGCACACGACACCTCCATCTCCAAGCACCAAAGCACCCCCTTCCAAATAGAATTCACCAGTTGTGGAATCTTTGTTCACAGCGGCTGTAAGCCCAGCCGCTGAAGAACCTTTCCCACTTGTGTAGACGCCAATTGGACTCACCATCTTGACAAACTTCAAGATCTGACTCTTAGCCGTCCCAGGATCTCCCATCAATAGAACATTGATATCACCACGAAGTCGTGTACCATCGGGCAACCCTTTTCTACTCCCACCAATCATCAAACACAACACAGCCTCTTTAATATCATCGTGTCCATAAATAGCAGGTGCAATCGATTTGATCAATTTTTCTCGTGTTATTGTCCGGGCGACTTCCTTCATCATCTCGTCGTCCTTTGGAACCAATTGATTTGACTTTTCAATGCCAATAGCACGGATGTATGCAGAGGATATCGTGCCCTTCTTTTGAAGAGACGCACCATAAATACCTTCAACGCGAATACGTTGTCCCGCACTCAACCCACTCACTAAATACCTTTCTAATATCACAACAACTGTTCGAGGAACTTCACCAGGCGCGACGTTCTCGGGAGTCTCTTGTAATTTGAGAATCATTTTGTCGACAAATTTGCATTTCTCAGGAATGATATCATAAGGATCTTGTGGACACTTTTTGCCAGTGACCGGGTTGTGTCCGTCGCATGAACGAGGATATTGGACGATGCCACAACACGGAGGAACATAGACTGATGTCTCTTTGCCACAACTGCGACAACGAAGAAAAGCTTTGACTACCTTTGGTTCAACTCGGGAAATGGAAACAATAATACCATCGACGCGAATCACTTTGGAAAGATGCGACGACTGGAGCGAACGTGGCTGGATCACCAAGTTGGTCGCATCTTTCACTATCACTTGCATCAATGGACTTCCGTCTTCGTATTCAATAAAATTTTCTTTTGGTTTGAAGTCGTTCATTGGTTTAACTATTGTAGACAACACGTTCTCAAACTGGTTTATAAATCAATTTCTTTCATAATACTAATTGAAGGAAAAATCTTATTGAAATACTATAACACGTGATACTCCAAATGTTTAAGATAATTCAACAACACACAAACAATTGACAAAAACTCCGATGAGTGTTTATAAAACGCCTCTTTGATACTTTCATCGAAGTTCTGAATATCCGAAATATCAACTTCCAAAAAGTATTTCCCGTCGATGACATTTGCCTTGAGCTGTTCTCGATATTCAAATACGTTATTTTTGTGACGACTGTAATTTTTCACAAAGTTACGAATCTTTAATTCAATGTTTCCACGGACATTACCTACGTCCGTAGAGTAAACGTCACTCCCGTCACTTGTCGCAATGATCCCCTCCATTCCTCAATTCTTGTCTTTTTTAATAAGTTCCTTTTATTTTTATTAACATTATATTTATAATAATTTATTGATAAATATAATATTATTTAACTAAAATTATATAATATATTGTATTTTATTGTTAATACAAAAATTGTTAATTTTACAACAAATTATTTTTTTGTTTTTTTTGATAAAAATTGTTATTAAACAAAGTGAAAAAAATTCCTTAAAACGTAGAACAAAATAGAAAAGAATTAAATTCCTCCAACAAATCTTGGTTAAAAAATATCTCTATTTTGATTTAATAGAGACTGTCAGTTCGGGCATTAAAAAAAAAGAAAATTTCACGAAATGAGAAAAAATCCAAATTAAAAAAAATGATGTTTTATTTTTTAAATTAAAATTGGTAAATCAAACGAACACCATTTTCTAGTTTGGTTGGTGATATTTTTATAGTTAAAAATACTTCATTTCATGTTTAAATTTACAATCAATAATGCCGAAATAATGATATAATCATTATTATCGTTTTCAATCCCGTATTATCGCTTTGTTTTTGTACTAACAACAACCCACACATTAAATACGGTGAAAAAAAGACAAATATGCCAAGGAAACAATAAATTCAACCACATTTTTTGTTTACCGAAGTAAAATGCCGAAAGATCGGCGTTTACGTTCCTTGCCATATTACTACTAAAAACAACACTAAATAGAAGGAACAATCAAACAAAACAATGGTAAACGCCACAACATGATAATGCCCAACCAAAGGAAGTTGAATAAAATGTGTTTTTCTAATTTTAACAAACTCAATGGTTGCGTGGCGATCTAAAAATGGGGCATAAATACGATTTGTGGATCTATAATTATAGGTAATATATACTACAAACAATTATCCCAAAAACTGATCACCACTTTGTGAAAAGAGAAAGCATAAAAAAAAATACAAAACCCGTGTCGCTCGTTTCACTGTTTTCATCAAAAATGAAACTTAACAAATTACACGAAACAAATATGAATAAAAATAAACATAAAAAATAACTTTGTTTTTTGATAATGAAAAAAGTGTAGATCAAGGTGAAATGTATTTAAGATCTGCCCTATATATAAGGGAGAGATCCAAAAAATTCAATCCAATGTCGAAAGACACACAAAGCACTGACCCGTTTGCTTTCATCGTAAACAAGCAGACCGACTGGAACACCCCATACAAACCACGCGCTGACGTCGGCACCTCTAGGGTTTCCAATTTGATCAAACAACCCACCGATCAAATCAAACCGGAACCCAAGCAAGAGAAGGTCGACCGCCGCGAACGCCCCGTTCAACCACCCGCCGCTTTACCAGTCGAGCAACCGCCACCGCAACGAAAAGCGACTGAGAAATCGTTAGAGAAAATCAATTATCAAGAGTATTTGGGTGGGGTTCATAAATACCGTTTGAAAGGATCAAACAAACATTTGGCTATGGCGTACTACACATTGTTTGTAAAACCCGTCTTTGAGATTCACCAGAAATCATCGAAGAATAAAGACCCGGCTCAATACTTGAAAGACGTCGCTAACGCTTATGGGACGGATGTCTCCAGGTGCGCGTCGATGTTCGAAACATTAAACAGATGGTTGTACTCCCCAAATAGCCTCACAAAAACTTCGGAAAGCATTTTGTTCCGATCGAGCGAACCGTTCTTGAAAAACATCGAACAACGCGGGCAAAGCGATTACCCGTATTCGCAACAACCAATGTACCCCCCTAAGGAACAGTTTAATGGCATTTCCGGTCTTCCAAAGGATTTGACTTCAGCGCTCGACGCGTCGTCTAAAAAACAAACAACTATTCAACCAATTCCAAGATATCCAGCAGCTTTCCCATTTGGGTATGATAAAAACCCAAGATACCCACCAGCTAGACAGTTCGACGATTACTACGAACAATCGAGGTTTGACCCAATGTTTGTTTTCTATATATTTTTAAGCTTAATAACATTCAAACACATTGGAGATTCAGTAGTCTTAATGAATGGGAATGATTTATTAATAGGTTTGATCCAAGATTTGATGGGAGATTCGATAGAAACTATGACGCTAGATATGATAGACAGTTCGACGCTCGGTTTGACCCAAGACTTGAACCACGTGGGTATGACCGATACGACTCAAGAGGATACGACAGAGTACAGGACAGATATTCCCCACGCCCAGATCCAAGAACCGATCCTCGCATCCCATTTGATCCAAGAGGTGAACGACTTGAAAGAGGTATTCAACAACTTGATCGACCAACAGAGAGACCACTGGAAAGAAGTGCCCAAATTGACAGACCCCCAATGGAACGACCATTGGATAGACCTTTCATTGACAATAGACCACCTCAACCAGACAGACCTTCATTGGACAGAACACCAAATGACGTTAGACAACCAATTGACTCGAGACAGCCTTTGGATAGCCGTACACCTTTGGACTCAAGACAACCTCCAATTGATCCAAGACAACCAATCGACTCGAGACCACCCCCAATTGACACCAGACCACCTCCTATGGACACAAGACAACAAGAAACCAAACCGGAAAAACCAATGGAAAGACCACTCCCAAGCGACGCTCGTGATCAAAGAGGTTCTTTGGATAGAGCTCGACCACCTTTGACTGACGCAAGACCTCCACCTATCCAAGACCCAAGACCACAAAGCATCGACAGAAGAGACCCCCGCGATCCTGCATTGTTGGACAGAGGATACGACAGAGGGTATGACCCACGGTACAGAGACTATGACATGGGAAGATATATGCCACCACGAGACCAAAGAATTCCATTCGGCAAAGATATGTACCAAGAACCAAGGTATCCACCAATCGATTCAAGATATCCCATGGACAGATATCCACCACCTTACGATAGAGACTTCCAACCAGACCCAAGGCTCCCAATCGAAGGAAGAGACTCCAGAGACCCTCGGGTGCTTGACCCACGTGATCAGAGAAATATGCCTGACCCACGAGATCCAAGGATGATGGATAGAACACCAATTCAAAGACCGCCTATGGAGAGAGATCCACGAATCCCAATGGATGCAAGAGAACGGAGTGACAGGATCGACAGAAGCGAGAGATCTGGCGTGGAGAGAAAAAGAAACAATTTCGCCCCACCACCTTATAAGTGATTTTTAGTGTTATTTACCCTTCACTCTACCATTTATCATCAATTAAACTATTATATTACTATAATATATCATGAGTAGATGCTCTATTGATAGAATTCTTAAAGGAGGACTCTAGGTGTTAAATTATAGTATAAATACTATAAAACAGTAGTTAATTGTAAAGAACACAAGACTCAATTGAACTGAATAACGATAAACCGCGACGTTGTAAATCGCGTCGACGACGAGCTTCCCAAAAAATTTCCTTTTCTGGTTTCGATGGAATACTTAAGTTCATCAGAAACCCGGCAGTCGTTGAAGTCCTTTGACACCGAAATGAATGGTGTAATTTGAAAGAGGAAGTCATCACTACTTTCCCCAAACCGGAATACTCCCCTGTCTTCCTTCTTGTCTGTCACAAATTTGTATACCCAGAAAAACTGTTCCTCCGCAAAGCAACAGACGAACGAATGGATGTCGCCCGACCAAAGTGACCCTTTTATTTCGTTGTCTATAAAACATCCAAAAGGCTCATATAAAGTCGGGAAGACAATAATCATGACGCCGCTCCGCCCATTAATTTTTGGTAATACGTCTCGTAGATCTTTACCATCTAAAGCGGAGTCAAAGACCGTCTTGTGATTTGTCATTTTAACACGCTTCAATACTTTGCCCATGGTCTTTGTTAAAAGTAAATTATTCTCTTCATTAGTCCGAGGTTTTAAAGGTTTGAACTTCTTAATTTCGTCGTCACGCTCTTTAGGATACGATGGGTACTTCTTATCAACTTTTTCATACACCCGATGCTCACGCGGGGAATACTCACCGTCACTATCACTCCGCTTCGGCACAGAAGATTGATCTATTATCTTCATTTCACCAAGAAAAACTTCTCGCTTCTCGGCAAGGCTCGATACAGAATCGCGCGTCCGAATAATTTCATTGTGTAAGAATTCGACGTCGCGCTCCATCTGAGCGATTAACTCCTTCTTTGTGGAAATGATGTCTTCGCACACTTTGACGGACTTTTCGAGTTCCGAGAACATCATCTTTCGTGGAACGGAATGTGCGATAACGTCTTCTTCTTGATTCAACTGTTCGAGGACTTCGCTACGTAGTGCTTTAAATTGTTCGAAAGCGGACTCCACGCGATAAAACGTGTTTTTTTTCACGGCTTGGATTCGGAGCAATTCAAAATCCATCGACTACTTTTACAGTTCTTTGAACTTTGATTTCCAAAGGGTGAAAAAGGAAAAGATATTTCGAAAAGAAGCACATCATTGGTTTGCATTAAAAACAGCAGTGTGTCCACCGACCTCTCCCGATTCAAAAAAATGAAAATGAGAAAGAAAAGTTAATTGAATTTAAATTGAGGGAAAATGGCATTGTGAATGATTTCATATTCAAAGAAGTCCAGAAAACCCTACTTGGAAGTTGTGGAAGATTGAATTTGGAAAATGCTTGGGAAGTACTTGGTATTGTGATATGACCAGTGTCAACGCTTCAAATCGGATCGCAGGTGGAGTTTAGTGAGAAGGAGGAATATCTTCTTGAGTTCCAATGAATTTAAACATCATAAGAGAGTCGAAGGGGTTAATCCACTTCTTTCTTTGATTCTTACCAGTTCGTTAAGTGTCTTTTTATATTCTTGTGTTTTTTGTATCAGTATTTTATAGTTCAATTATAATATAGTTATAACTTTATGAAAACAACAAAACGATGGTTTATTAACAAATTATATATTTCTAATTTATCTATATTATTTTTTTAATTAGAGAATTCAGTCGATTTACCAGTTTGCTATTTTTGCTATAGTTAGAAAGAGAATAAAAATTCAACTTAAAAATTATAATAAAATAACCAATGAACAATTAGATAATTAAATGATTATTAGAGAATAGATATATTTTTGTTTTTTAAATGTTATTGAATGTTTCACATTTTTTCCCGGTGGGAAAAAATAAAACTATAATTAAATTAATAAATCAATTAATTGAAATTAGCAGATGATGCACTGATCCTTTGGTACTTTTTCGTACTGTTGCTTCTCATAATCCTCTCTAATTTGTTTTGGTAGCAAAGTGCATTCTGTAATGTTTTTGCAAGTGACGTCTTGGCATTCCAAAATAGTCAACAATTGAATGGTCGATTTGGGGAGGTTCAAAACAATTTGGGACGACATCGAAATGTCAACGCACTCTGCTTGTGTTTCTTCCAATCCTTTTAAATCGACGTTTCGAGACCCAACACATACAAAATTTTTCACGTTCTTTGTTAAGACAATTGTACAGTCTGTCACATCTTCAATTCTTACAAACGGCGCGTTTGCTACAATACTCTTCCCAACAACGCCTTTGATCTCTAACGAATTTTCAGAAGCAAACTCACCCTCTGACCCAACTAAGAGTTTTTTCATTGGGCGTTCAAGTGAAAGTTTGACATTGGGGCATTTTAAGATTGTCAGATCGTTCACGCAATTATCACATTCGAACGTCGATAATTTGGGCAAGTCAAAGAGCGCAATCACCTCGCAGTTTTTCATTTTCACTTCTGTAATATCTTTGCAATTGTAGAGGCGAAGTCTCTCGATTTTTTCGGAGCAAATAGAAGACACCTCAGACCCTGTTAATGAGAACGTTGTGAATTTTTTGACATTCACAAGAAGTTGACTTGCGAGTGACACTGTGCATTTCTCAAGTCTGAACGATCCAACTCCATACAATTTTCCATTTGAAGGGACGGTAGTGTTATCCACAGCAAACTTTTGGAGTTTTGGCAGATCAAAATTCATCAGAGGACTACCAATGACACTCAATTGAGTTAACAGTGGTGCATCGAGGGTTTCCAAATTTGGGTTGTTTGTTAATGAGAGCTCAGTTGCGCTTGGCAACACAATTTTCGATAGACCAGAGACTGAAGATATAGTGACTAAATTTGCAGATGGAAGGGTATACTCCATCATTTCTTCCATCTTCGACGAGCGCGAAAGAGAACTTCGTGTTAACAACACCTCTTCTGCGTCAATAGAAACATTTGATACGACAAAACATCCATTCACCTCCACTTTTCTTGCTTTCACATTTATTTTCTGTGTAAAAGTGCACTGATAAAAAGTGATACTCTCCGAACATATTTGTGGGAGTGTTGTGATGAAGCACGAGTTCACATAAACCTCTTTCAAGTGTTTTGGGAAGACAATGTGTTCCAACTTTCTTGTAGTGGGAACGCTTAATATTTCGACACTTTCTGGGAATGAAGTGATTGGTAACACACTGTTATCCAATTTAAGTACTTTGACCGTCGGTGGCACTATAAGTTTTTCAAGAGACTTCAAGTAAATCGCTTCACATTCTACAACATTTGTTTCGATGTCCAACTCTTTTAAATCGGCACATTGCTCAATTGTAACAATTTTCAAGTCTTTCTGGTCCAATTTAAGGCTGACTACAGAGCAGTTGGAACACACCAATTTCTCAAGTGTGCTTGGCAACGCAATCTTGGGGCAGTTCAAATCTTGTAAGTACAACTCTTTGACGTCCAAATCGACTTTTAAATCGCCGGGTTCTGCTGGTTGTTCTGGGTTGATAAAATCGATGATCCGCGCCTTTTCAACTGCATACTTTTGAGCGCTTTGGGTAAATGTTGGGATGTCTTGTAGATGCATAGTGATTATACCGTCTTTCATACCAAAGACCCACTCTCCTTTTCGATAATATGTGACTATCTGACCGTTGTGAACTTCAACCGAAACGTCTGTCTTTTGGCGACTCTCTGGAATTACAGACATCACATTGTCCAATTGAGAGACGTCGCAAATAACATGAATGGAGCAACTTGGGAATTGTAAGTCGGCTTTAAAAGGGGTTGGATTCTGAGACGTCTTGGGTCCGTTCAGTTCTTCAAGGCAATTGATCGTAAGACGCTCCAGTGGCATGTCGTTTGTTATTGTACTGGTGTACTGTGCGGCCCTCAAGGTAATTCGTGTGATTTTTGGTGAAGCTTCAAATAATGCGCATCTTGTGTATAAAGTATCACAATCGTAAATATGGAGATGACACGTAGTGATTGGAATAGAGACGTAGTTGCAAGTCACAGTTTTAGCGTTTTTGAAAAGCTTCATTTCACCAATGACGTTTTTGTCGTTGTAAAAAGGAGTTGTTTCAACTGAGTTAATTGACTGTTGGCACTTCTTGTTTATAAGAATGAAGGTGGTTGCGTCGCGAAGGGCTGAGAGATAGAAGACCACCTTGGTGAGGTGTTCTGCTCCCAACATCACGTACAATTTTAGTAAATTGAGTTGTTTTTTTCTATAAAATAATTATTTTATCATTTGGTAACTTTAAAGATTTGTTAACTATAAAATATAGTAATATATTGATTGGTTTTATAAATCATTCTTATTGTATAAAAAAAAGGAGAGATTGTCGATAATGAAAAACCACGTTATGATGAGTAGTTAAGATAAGAGTAGTTTAATTATGGAGATTTTTATAATAATAAAATCTATTGTTTATTTTATAAAAAATAATTAATTAATTTATTAGATTTTTCTAGTTCAAGAACCAAGAAACGAAAAATGAAAAGTATTATAGTTTTTAAATTACAATTTATTTATTTAATAAATGGTTAAAAAACTATTTGTTACTTTGTTTAAATTACTATAATTTTTCTTGGATAATTTTGAGTCTATTATGAATTTAAAATATTATTATTATTTATAATATATGAGTATATGATTTTTATAGTTATTTTAACCAATTTTTTAAGTAAATAACCAACATTAAAAAAAAGATTTCGAATACATATATGGTGTTTGTTCAAAACATTTTCAAATAATTTTAACCAATTGTAAAAAATTCATTCATAATAAAATCACATCTAAATGTGTAGTAATTAACGAATAGTACCCATTCTATAAATATTTTAATGTGTTCAATATTATTGAATGGGTGTTGTTTGTTTTTAAACAATTGGGGATTAAATTATGGTTCATAACACTAAAATCATTTAAGTCATTAACATACACTTCAATTTTGGCAATGTCTATTATAGGTGTTATTATCAAAGATATGTTGTTATTTAAACTAATAATAATATATATCAAAACATGATGAATTTTTTTGAAGTACAATACGCTCTTGAGTCGTACTTTACAGTTATTGATATTTCAGAGAAAGAGTCTCTTCGTATTTTAATGAATTGTGAATCAAAGAAGAGTATAGTTTCTATTGTTTCCAAGATCAGAAAAGTTTTGAAAGATAAAGATACAAGTATTACAAAGTTTAAAGCTCTTATTTTACTTCACTTGTTATCTCAATCAGAGAAAATAAATCTATCAGAATATATAGACTCTATTAAAACTGATAACTCAATAAAGTCTCAGATCAATCCTCATAAAACATGTTTGGTTTATTGGCAACAACAGTATTTGGATATAATTGACAAATCACTTAAACTTAAGAAAAAGTATAGTTTCTTGAGTGGGATATTCTCCTTTACAGAAGATGTTTCGATTCCAACAGAATTCAATAATTTAACATTCTGTGAAAATTTTGAAATGGACCTATTTTCTTTATTTGATTCTATTAATAAGTTTGTAACAGAAAGAGTGAAATCTCAAGCAGAAAATGAATACCTCCAACGAGCTACAAATATATGCATCAAAGACTTGATCAACATTTTTCAATTGATAGTCAATTTAGATGAGATTAAGTCTGTAAATTGTAGCACTTACAGGAGCACAGACACTACTTCATATTGCCAACAGCAGTTATTTCTTATAAAAAATGAAATGAAACAAAATCGAGAACCCAACTTACAATTTTGTAGAATCCCACAAATTATTATGTCTAAAAATGAAGGTACCTTATTTGGTGATAACGTCAAAAATTCGCATCCTTATTGCGCAAAACAACCTTACAATGATCAGTCATTGCTTTTACAAGAACCATATCAAAACACATCAAGTTACATTCTTATTGACTAATCTATTTTATTTCTATTTATAATAGTTTTTAAAATATTATAATATATTAGTTATATAATATTATATTGTGCTATTTTTAAATTGTTTTATTATTAGATTTAAAAATGATTATTATTATTAATGACAATGTGATAAATACTATAATGAGTTTATAATTTAATAAGAACTAATTTACAATTAAAAAAATAATAAACTAATAATTATAGTATTCGTTCCAATATAGTAAAGCTCACAAGTGACTCAACAAGAGAGACTCTACTCTTTTTTGATCATCATTACCATTATCCCCCGCAGCCTCTCCCAACGTGTTAGTGTTATCTTTCATGAGCGATACGTTTTGGTCGAATATGTCCCATTCATTTTCCATAAGAATGAGTTCTTGGTTTAGCTTTGATTTCAGTTCGTCGATACGTTCGAGGTTCTCAGCAACGTGAATCTCTCCGAACACAAAGTCGCAGTACGAGTACCTTGCAACCTTTAACTTCTTTTTGTCCGACAAACTGTTGACTTCTTTACTTGAGTTCGATCGGTACTCTTCTTCTTTATAAATGAGATCCGATGCAAATCCACTCAACACTCTCCTCACCTTCGAAAACATCACTCCAGCAACAAGTCCCTCCATATCACTATATTTTCCCGTCCGCAAAAATTCCTCCATCACCATTTTTTCATCATCCGTCGCATTCGAGTAATTCTTTGTTTCAGTCAAAAGTTCTTCAGAAAATGTTTTCGATATGTTGAACAACGTTTTAAGGAGTCTCCCTCTAATGTCAGCGTTTGTGGACATTAAAATTCTGTCCATACAAAACACTCCGTACAACGCAATGACTTCTCGCTGATTGTCAACAATAACAGGCTCGGAAGTTGTGTTCTCCGCTTCCTGCATCGACCTGATGATCCGCAATTTCCGTAGTGCACTTTCAACACCAAAGTCCATGCGAAGTCCTTCGAAGAATGGGATGAGTGCTTCTATACTAAAAACTCTGTTCCCACCTCTTTGGAGCACTTTTGTCAAAAACAGATTAACGCAGGCAACAAACGTCTGTATCGCCTTTTCAGTCTTCTTTTCTTCAAGTGCTTTGCTGATCAAGAAAAAGAGGTCTGGGATCATTGTGACTTCAGTAAAGCCTTCTTCAATCTTCAAGTGGAGGACAAACAGTCGAGCGATATTTTCCACGTTCCTCAAAACATCATTGTTCAACCCTCTCCGGATCAACGAACAAATGGGTCCAAACTTCTTGATGTCTCCTTTGATCCCTCCAAGAAGTCCTTCAACAATATTATAATTGATATCTTTATCCCTTTCATTCACGATTGGTAACACTTCATTTGTCGATATCCATTGCGATATCAATTTCTCAGAGACTTCAGCAGTCGAGTATTGAAAGAGTCTGAATATCATCACCTTGACTTGCATGATATCCGCAATACGTTGTGGAATTTTGTTTAACAAATTCATTTCCTCCAACGTGAATATGGTCTCTTGTGATATCGAACCAACAACAGCCTTTGCGATGTCAAACCCTAGTGTGTAGTATTTCATGTCAATACTTTGCAGGAACTTGACAACAACTTCTAATATCAGCTCTTTCACTTTGAACCCCCCTCGTGTGAGTAAACACAGAAGTTCGTTGCACAAATAACTTGTGAAGAGTTCCACCCACCGGACTGAGAAGTCGATTCGATTTAACAACAACGTGACACCTTCATAGAACAGTTCATCTGAAGATACCGAGTATAACGTCGTTATAAAACTTTGTAATGAACTTTTGGTGGGTGTAATTGACTCCGACAAAGCGTTCCAGATGATTTCCCGGATCTCCTTGACATCCGTATTGTTTATTCGACGTTGTGACCAGCCATGTATCCTTAACCCATTAGGAAATTGGGGTTGATAAAAGAGAATCATCAAATTCGACAGATACTCCATATACTCTGGAGTATCCTTCAACATCACAATCACTTTCGCCAAGACGTACTTCTGCAATGTTGCTGAAAATGATATCCAAATTCGGAAGTCACTCAGCATCTCTTTGAATTGGCCATAATTACTATCTTCTATAAACGCCTCAGAAAGTCTCTGGATTTGGTCAAACACGGCTGGAATGACTTGAATGGGAACTGCTTTGATAATGATTGACCGAAGCAATATAACACCTTTCATCTTAATAAAGTCGTCCTTCAAGTCGTCGGACCCAGAGACACATCTAGTGATGAATGAGACTAAAAAGAAAAGTGGGTTGTTTGCTCGTGCGTTCGACTTGAACACCTCCATATGTTCTTGTTTGTTCAACTTTCTGACAAATGCAAAGAAGTGGAAGAAGAAATTCGCCTGGTGTAATGCTTGGAACAAATTTTGAATTTTCCCGACGACAATTTTGTCTCCATCGATCGTCTGGGGGACTTTGTCTGCTTTCATGAACATCAGTGCCTTTTTTGTTTCTTTAACGACGTTAAATGGTGACACAAATAATATTCTCTTCAGTTGTTGTGGTTGATCTGAGACGTCGAACATTTTAGTTTGCATTGTGAACACCTCAAGAGGAATTAAACACGACGAGTACACTGACAAGAACAGCATTTGTCCCATGAACCCGTTTTTATATTTATGTGAACTCCCAATGAAGTTCTTCGTTGTCGACAAAGTCGTGTCTTTGTGTTTGTATGGAATTGTCATATCGTACAAGCAAGTGACTGGATTCGCCTCATTTGAAATTTGGACGTGAACCGATTGCCCACCAATTTTCTGTTCAAAGTGTAAAAACACGAAATACCAAGTCTTTGATTGTATTGTGCAATCGATTGGAATATGTAACTCTGTTTTAGTGTCTTCATTGAGTACAATTTCAAAATGAGCGTCTTTGTAAATGACTGCTAACGAGTGTTGATCAACGTAAAAGTCGAAGATGTATTGGAGTTCATTGAACTCCGAGCGATTCACACAAAATGCGATTGTCTGTGATTTGTACGACAAATTCATAGTTTTTGCGTATATAAGTGGTTCTCCCATCAAATACAGTGTTTTTTGTGGTTTCTTCTTTTCCGTTGAGAGGAGTTTGTTGATCATTTTCATCACAACATTTTTGTGTTTCTCGTTCTCCAAAATATCAAGCAGTTCGCACCCCAAATATGGCGGCGCATTATACAATATCGCCATTTCAACAAAATTTTGGAGTTGTTCCAAGATCAGTGCATTCTCTATTTTAGAAAGTAAGTGGACCATCATCCCCAATCCGTACTTCGACAGATAATGTAAGTTGATGTCATGTGTCAAAAAAATAGTTTGGATATTCACATACAAATCTAATGGGCAGATTTGCTTGAAGACCAATTCCAAGAGCACGGGCAATAATATTGGAAATCGAATGGGTTGCGCACAGTTAAACAGTGTTTTCAAGTCGTTTGTGCCATAGAGCGACGCCACCATTTCGTGTATGATAAACACACTCATCCCCTTCTTCTCTACTAGTTTTTCAGTAAACTTCGAGACAAATCTGCTGAACACTCGTTTGTTTTCCTGCACCTTCCACGTGTTCCTCAGAATATCAAAAACAACACTAAGACCCTCTTCTTCGTCCATGATATCAATTAATGAGATTATTGACTCATAGAAATCAATTTGAACTATTGGTGGCGTGTCGGACACAAACACCGCGTCCATCAAGTTTTTCATCTGTTTGAGAGCAATTTGTCGGTCTACTTTAAATGCTCCTCTGATGAACGCTAGATACTCAAACAGCCCCGAATCCGTTGAAGATTTCAAGTAAAACAGAACCAATCCGAAGAATGGTTCGTTGACATATTTTGCGTCAGTCTTCGCTACTTCTTGGAAGATAGTTGTTCGAAGAACTAAATTGTCTTTAAGCAATGCAGCGTAATGTGCAACCGATGTCGTCTTCATCAATATTTCGGCGTATTTTTCACAAGAGATAAGTACAAAGAGTCTTGAATCGATCAGTTTTGCAAAGAGCTCTTGTGGAATCGTTTTGTTCATCACAAAGTATTGTAGCCACGTGCAGAATTCATTGAACACACTTTTATACTCCGCGTTCGCGTTTTTCGCAAAGTCGTCCAAAACTTGAATGAATAGAGGGAGACTCGCTCCATCAAGACAAATTGGTTGTACTGAGTCTTTGAATGAGACCTCCTTCAAGATATCAATATGTTTCAATACGTATCCAAAAAATCCTACATACAACTGCTGCACTTTCCCTCGATACCTCCAATAATTTTGTTCGTTGATAATTGTGAAAAGTATCAGCGCAAGTCGGGCTTGGTATGTGTAAAAAATGACATCATCTGTTTCCGCATAGTCATCGAGAACCCCAAATTTCGATAGTACTTTTTGTAAGAAAGCGTCGTCGTATTTGTTTTGGACAACAACAGAGGTGTACAGATTCATTAACACATCAGACAAGATACTCGCATCCTCCTTTTTGTTTCCCGCTATGATAAATGAGCACAAATCATCGACCGTATTTTCAAAGGACTTTGGCGCTATTTTGTATATCACCGCATTTTTATAAGCCCCACACATCCATGTCATATTAACAACTAACTGGACTTGATGCGAGTTTTGCAGCGTTTTTGACATGTAAAGGTTAACCGTCGAGTCAAACAAATTTAATACGTTCTGCATGTTCTCCTCATTCTCTCGAAACGCAATTAATAGCTCTTCTCTTGAGCTTAAAACAAAGTGAGCAGTTTCGAGTCCGGTGACACCGTTTTGGAAACAAAATAAACAAAATTCTGCGATTGTGTCTGCTGTGATTTCAGAAGGGATGTTCCGTGTTGTTGTGATATTAGTCATTACTTTGTTCCACTTCTCTTTGTCTTCCATTTGCAATTATTAAATTTAATAGTTCGCAGTTTCATTGTAAATTTCTTTTCTCAGAAGTCGACAAAAGTGGTTGAAAAGAACTGAATGAAATAATTCATCCACGGATTTTTCCTTTCATTGATACATTTTTTCTGTAAGATTTTTGGTTTCATTTGGGTTGGTGTTTTCTTCAGTATTTACAAAAATGATTCCAACCAAGTTTCTTTAAGTTTCGTGTCGGTTTTTATATAACTTCTATTAGTTGAAAATGCCGTTCATTTAAAAATACAGTTACCATTTTATTATAATAATTAAATTATAAACTATTAATTAATAATTGATTAGAGACAATTATGGGATTGATACTAGCAACAGCAGATTAAAAAAAAATCGGCATTTTTTTATATAAATGTTGTCAATAAATAGATCAATTGACAATGAATACAACACAACTTGTAAATGGCGTTTTACATTTTTTAAATCGACTGAAATTTTCAGTCGATTAAAAAATTTGAATTGAAAAACTTATTAATTAACACTATGAACAAGTAGAACAGCATTTTGTTCGTCCTTCTTATCATCAAGTGACGTGATTATCGACATGACCATTTTCATAACACTTTTCATCTCTTTCATTTGTCCTATTAGAACTTCATCTACTTGTGATGACTTAGTTTCCGCTTCCATCTGATCATACGCTTTTTGATACAGCACTAAAGCATCTTCACACTGTTTCTTCACATTCTGTTTATTCTCCTCCTGAGAAAATTTACTTAATACTTCATCTTTAATGTCCTTGATTCGCTTCTTGTCTACTTTCAACACTTTCCTTTCCTTCACTTCAACATCTTTGATTGGCTTTGGTTCGATAATAATTTCCTTTTCTATTGGGGTGGTTTGAACATCCCAAGGTGGGGTAGCATGTGTTAATTTCCACATTCCCGTTTTCCTTAATGAATTGGTACCACTCTCAAAAAGAGTGGAATGCGACAGAGCATCCAACAAAGACTTCTTCCATTTTGAGGGACTTGTGGTAACTATTCTATTAGTTTGTTTAATACATTTACTATTCTATTTATACTATATATTATTAATAAATTTATTATTATTGACAAACACTGAGCCATCTTCCCAAAGCAGTACCAATGATCGGATATAAACCAATAAACATCCTTCTTCAAGGAAAAATAGAGTCGAGGGGCATTCAACACTGAGAGAGAATACATTACAGCACGACAGAGTAGTTGCCACGACACAACTTTTTTGTGATTTTCTGGTTTATCCAGTCCTAGCGCTTTTATACCAACTTGACAAAAAGGACAAAAGCATAATTTAAGCTTGTAAGCATCACCTTTTTCTTCTGGCATGCTGTCAATCTCATTGAAGATTGGAGACTCTCTGTTCGGGACTAAGTCCATTGTTCGTTTTGGAGTTCCAAAAATCTTCATGTGTTTGAAAAATTTCCATTTTTTTGAAAAGTTTAGAACGATTGTTCTTCATCTTTTAAACGAAATGAAGGTATTTCTTAATCACAACTGTCTTTTTTTAATAAATATTCAAGAAATAATTTATATTAAATATTTTTAATAAAATTATTACAAAAATACTTTGTTCAATGCAATTTATCATTTTTGAAAAATCGATGGCAAAACGTTTTTTTAATTAAATTTATTTTTTTTATTAATGAAAATTTTCCTTTTTTTAAATTTTTTTAAATTTTTAAAAAAGGAAAATTTTTTTGTAAATTAAATCAAATTGGTTTAATTTAATTTTTCGGGATTAAACAACAAAACTACAATTAACATCTTAATTAAATTTAATTATTACTTTCGAAATCATTTTTTAAATCAAAATTAATAAATATCGTTTTAATTAAAAATTGTAAAAGAAAATTCTTCGATTTTTTTAGTATTAAAATTTTACTATAAAATAACAATATTTCGGATTTTTACCTTTCAAAAAAATATTAAGACTTTACCAATTAATATCAAACTAATTTATATTAATATATTTATAAGATATTAGTGATACATTTCCATTTTAATTTTTTTAAACAAAATTAACCAATTTTTTACTCGTTTTTTGATAATTACTCATTAAGGTTAAATTAATAATTAATGATAATTATTGAATATTATAGTTAATTAAATATTTGAATTACAAATATTAAAAATGTTATTATTACATAAAATCTAATTTGTTAAATTTGGTTGAATGAAAAACAACAAAAGGACAACACTCGTAATGGTGATACAAATTTAATCGACAAAGTCATCATTTTCCTTATCATACCCCAACAATGCCGGCTGTATGTCAAACGAGTTCATCAACTCTTCCAAAGTGAAAGCTGTTCCATCCGCTTTCTTACATGCTCCATTGTTTTTGATTGTAGTCAGTATATCTCTCGACAACTCCTTCCACTTTTTGGTGAGTTTATTCAAGTTCTTTCCTTCACACGAAGTCGCCGCTCGGGCTTTCTTTTCCGCGTTGAGCATTTTTTCTTTTGTCTTTTTCACTTTACATTGCAACTCGACATAGAGAGCCTGGAGTTCTGGAAACTGTGATGGCAAGTCATCAACAGTGGTTTTTTCGTTCAACTTATATTTCGACGATTGCGTGATTGACACTCTCAGTCGATGTTTCTTCGACGGAGTTTTCGATGGAGTTTTTGATTGTTGTGTGTTGTCCTTCTTTCCCAATAAATAGTACACATCTTCCGTGTTCTGTGCTATTTGTTTGACAACTCCACATTCCTCCAATATTGATATGCTCTTCCGCATCTCCCCGACTCTTGTGGATGAAATGTTGTTCATATTTTGAAGTGTTTTGATATCATAAAACGAAGCGTCTCCTTCTTGAATCGTTTCTAATAATTTCATTGAGAGGCTGTCCTCTCCCATTTCTTATGTTTGGACATAAGAGTTCATAGTTGTACTGACTTTCCTTATCAAAATTATTTAATAAGTCAATCTATATTATATAATAACATGTTAAACATTATTACAAAAACTCAATAGAATAATTTGATATTATGATTAAAATTAATAGTTTATTAAATTAATCATAATGGTTTAATTATTAGTTACATTTAGTTTATAAATTAATTATTTAAATATTATATATAATTAAATAATAATAATAGTTAATTTATGAATACCAATTAACTTTTTAAACTCGAACCACATTATATACTTAATAATAAATTAAATGATATTATAATTAATATTTTATTCATTAATATTATTATAATTTATAGTAAAAAACTACTAATCTTTAAGTTTCAAATGTCACATTTACGTGGAGAAAAAGACCTTTCATCTTTATGTTCAAATCGCGCGAATGATTTAGCAATTCTTCGTTCAGCAAATCGAGCCAATCTTATTTCTAAAAAACGAGTTGTTGATTCCGTAGTATTTAAAACGCTTCCTAAAATCTCAGACATCCAGCAAACCATATCAATGGCGCTTTCTGGTGATTTTAATTCATTCAAACTTATTGCACAATACTTGAATGGCGATCCCATGCCAATTCAATTACTTATCAAAGCGGAATTCTTTCAGAAAATGATGTCACAAGTCGAGAACTTGACCCCGGAGTTCTTGTCTGTGTTTCTATTGATATCACAATTCTTCACGTCTGAGGGCAAAACAATAAACCACAGCCAACTACTACTTTCATCGGGGTTTCTAACTAAATTGGATGTTATGTTGTCAAATACAAATAACTCAGTTGTTGTGCGCACGTTGAATGTCACTGGAAATATCATCTTAGACTCCGCATCATTTGCAAGTCTTTTTTTACAATTCAAAATCATCGAAAAGTGCTTTTCTTTAGTCGAAAGTAATCCAATGGAAGATGTCATCGAGGCTGTTGGATACGTCTTTGAGGCATTATGTAAAAGTATTCCAAGTAATGCTCCAAACACCTTTGAGTGGGTCTATAAATACTTTTTTGAATTACTGAAGAAGAGCAGTGAGTTTAAAGACAACACTGTTGCTCATGCACTTGTTTCGATCGCAAATTTATATTCAAATTCAGTTTTTGTTAAAGCAGAAGACGTCCTTCCCTTCTTGCTGGAGTTTTTAAGACGGAACCGCCTTGTTGAAAACACGTTGAATTTGATTTTGAAGTTCACTCGGTCTTATGGCAGCATTTGTAAATTGTTGGCTGCAAGCGACTTCTGGAGTGTGTGTAATAGATACTTGGAAATGCCTAACTTGGACGAAAAAGTAATGTATTACATCTTCTTTGTGAACTCAAATATTGCATGTGATAGTGACGATATGCCTTTTCTCATTATAGAAAAAACAAATTTATATGACTACGCATATAAAATAGCAATAGAAAAAACGGTGAAGTATACTACATTGGTGCAATGCTATTATTTAATAGCAAATTTGGTCTTCTTGGACTACGACGATATAATGGAATGTGTGTTTAATAAATTTCCAAAAACTCTTAATATCTTTATTGACATCGTTTCAAACGTCGAAGAAGAGCCACTTCTTCTTTCAACTTGTTTAAAAGCATTTGTCAATCTACTGAGGTACGCCAAAACGTATGACATTGACACAGAACAATACTTAGAAGGGTGCAACTTAGAACAAATTTTGTTCGACTTGAAAGTTTGTGTTAATAATTTGTTTGAATGAAACTTATTAATAGAGTCACAACCTTGGAGATATCGTCAATGAAAAGGTCGACAATTTGACAAAGGTGTATAGATCACTTCCATCAAAAGAAGAGGAGTTGTAGAGGTATACAACAATTGTCTTCGTAATTAAAAACAATTTTTATAATTATTAATTAATTATAGTTACATATAATAAATATGTTGCAATAATTAATTTAACTATAAATGATAGTAAAAAATATCACATTATTTTTTTTGTGAACAATAGACATGGCCTTTAACAATTAATTTCAAAAAAAAATCCAAATAGTTTTCATTTTTAACTTAAAAACCAAAACAATGGTTTTTAAAATAATAAATGTGTCAATTGTCAACTAAAACAATATCAAATTATAATTTAAAGAAACAATTAAAGTTTTTAAAATAAAAAAATCACCAAAACTTAACCGATTCAATATTATCATAGATGAACAATAATAATAAGAAACTATAACATAAAAAATGTTATTAAGTCTGAAAACTCCTCTAAACTTGAAAAGGGCACAAAGAACTCGAAATAATAGAAATGACCCAATTTCTACCACTTGCATTACTTCTGGTACTTTTCACGTCTGTGCAAAGTGGAGTCATTGTGGATATGGGGTATGACCAAATCACTGTTGGGTGGTACAACACCACATCTGTACACATCTTATTAGGATCAAACGGTGAAAGGAGTTACAATTCGAAGGTTGCTTATAGATGCAATCACGACGATTACACATATGGGTATAATGCTAAAGCACTTCTTGGAAATCAGAAGGTGAAAGTACTTTCTCCGATCTATCAAGTAGAGGACAAGACAGAGAATTGCACCCTCCCGAATGACAAAACAGCTATTTTAGCATTCCAATTGGATAACTTGTACTATAAATTGGACGCTAATAATACACATCGATCACTCTTTAACTTAACCCAAGAAGGAAGACATGCCCCTCAAATTATTGTTCCTTCGACATTTACTCCTTACGACTTGGACAAAATCAGCGCCGTTATCCCTAAAGCGGAATTTATCCCAAAACATAAGGCACATTTGGGAATGGTTTTAAATGCTGTTAATAAGAAACTTGTTGATATGAAAGAACACTATTTAGTGATTGAATGCGGTGCACACGATACCCGTATAACACATATCAATGTCTTCAATGGAACACAATTCACTGTCAAAACACACAAAACAGTGAAAGTCAGTGCTGATTCACTGAACACTGCGCTGGTCGACATTGTTGGAGATGTCAGAGGCAGTGTCGAAACACAAGCACACTTGAAACAAATTGAAGAATTAAGACTGAAACTCTCATCAAACACACAAATTACAACACTCTTTGAAGAACTCGAGAAGAACATCACTGTGACGAGAGATGAGTTCAACGAGAAAATTTCCGACATCTTGAAACCTTTACGAGAAACACTGAACCAAGAAAAGGAGACATTAAATCAGAACTTCACAGTCTTTTTGATTGGTGGTCTCTCATACACACCAAAAATTAAAGAAATAGTCGAGAGTGTATTTGGTAACTATTCAATTCGACTTTCTGGAGACGAGTACTTGTTCGAAAGTATCAAAACGTTGATGACTTTTGAAAAGATGGTCAACTCGCCATTTGAGATTGTCGATTTCATCCCGTTTGATGTGTCCATTAAAATGAATGGAGCCGAGAGCCCATTCATCAAAAGAGATCAGCCAATGAAACTTGCGAACAGGTACCAAATTTCTATTCCACAAACACAGAGTCTCGAGTTTTTGGATGCGGAGAGCAAAGTTCTGTTGAGAAAGTATACGATAGAAGGAATGGAGAAGAACGAGAATATGACTTTTAGAGTTGATTCGTTGGAGAAGGGGATTGTGAACTCTCTTGAAATACCAAATGCGACGATTCGACTGAACGAAGTGTGTAACTTAACACAATTGAAAGAAGAAGTCGAGAAATTTAGAGAGGAAGATACAAAGAAGAAAATCAATCAGTATCTCTTGATGAACCAAAGACAAGGCTTCGAAAGCCTCTTGTTGGATTTCAAACGATATTTAACAAGTGATATTGATGATATCATCGATGTCCAAGAAAAGCTTGACGACGTCGAGAGAAATATTATGTGGCTTGAAGATCATGTGGATGTCACCATTGAAGAGTTGGAAAAGGCCGAAAAGGAGTTTGGCGAGAGACATCACGTCGAGTTACAAATGTTGGACGCCTTCAGACAATTTGCGAAGAAGATCGAAGAGTTGGGAAGAAAGGTAGTCGACGGGATCGATGAGATGAAGAGACTTGGCAATCGGCAGTACATGAACTACGCTAAGAAACTCAATGATGAGTCCGAGAAGCATCCGAAAGGAAAAGAAGAGAGAGAAAAGCTTGAGAAGTTCTTAGAGGACATGTTGGCCACCCTTGAGTCGAGCAACAATAGAAAGAGGTTTTTGAATTCCATTAGATGGGTTTGGACTTTAGTTGGGTATGCTATTATTGGTGGTGTGTTTGCTGGACTAGTTTACGTTTCGTTCAAAATGACTCGAAAGCCAAAGAAGGTTGTTATGCACCCAAAAAAGAAATGAATCTTTCAACAGTGGTTAATTCAGTAATGCGTCAATTTTTAGTTGAATAGATGGTACAATTTAATTAGTAATAAACTATACTTTTTTATTATAAATTATTATAAATTATTATAATTAATAAAATAAAATGTCAAAGAAGAGTTACATAGATGAAGAAGAGTTAATTAGTCTGAATTATCGCACACTCTTGGTCTGACATAATCCCAAAGGTCATCTGAACCCAAAATTAACAGATGTCCATGCTTCCCAATATCAGTCACGTCATTAGTGAAAAGCGAGCAAGACTGGAGTGAGTTCAAATTGACCAATTTGTCACCATCTGAATATACAACTTCTGATTTGCTGTTGAGGTCTTCAGTTTCGAAAGTGATTGAGTAAGGAGTTTCTTTTCCATGGGAGTGAACACATCCCATTTTAACACCATTTGGCACAGTGTAATTCCATTTATGGTAGAATGGAACCATTTCGTTGTTGATTATGTAATCACTCTTGCTTGCTATTTCAGGGATTTGTTTGTAAAAATCTTTCAATTCGGAAGCTTTGTAAGTCTTTCCCGTGCTTTTAATGGTAACCATGTCGTCGTTGTTCCATTTTTCACCAAGGGGCGACAAGGCCAAAATTGACTCTAATGTTCTTGAGAAGTCTCTGACGTTTTCTTCGTTGATTGGAAGTCCCAAATTTTCGCCAACAGACAACTGTTTTTGGACCATACCAGTTCCTATGAATGGAGCACTGACAGCTATCCAACTTTGAATGTACTGATCGCAAAATTCCTTTCCTAAGTAGTCCAGTAATTTGTATGTCACAAAGCCTCCCATAGAGTGTGACAACACAACGACTTTTTTGCCTGTGTTTTTATATCCAGCATAGATGAGTCCTTTTGTTGCTTCATAATATGTAGAAGGTAAGTCTGCACTTCTCCAGTCGTATGTAGCACCAAACATATCGACTTGGTCTCTATATCCCATTTTCTCAAGATGACTGATCAGCTTATGGAAAGAGTTTGTAAATTGCTTGATCACAAAAACGGGATCTAACTGGTCAAGTCCGTATGTGCTTCCAAATTCTATTCATTAGTTTCTTTTTATTATTATTATTATTAGGTTCTTATTGTTGAATAAGTTAAGGTGTTACCGATTTTGATTAAATCATATGTTATGAAAACAAACCAGGAACACGAAGAGAAACACCAGGAATGGTCTCTAACTTGTTTGTCGTCTCATTCCATACACCACTCATGTACTTCATAAGGCATTCACCTTTACGAGGAAGAACTATATCGGCATCAACCCAAACCCTTGACCAGTCCTTTGTCCTGTCACAATCTTTTGGCCATGGACCATACGACTCTGCGACATCAATTTTGGCTTCGAGAATAGAAGACATGAGACCTGGTACCATCACAACGGGGGAACGTGACGCACACTTGTCTTTGGCTTTCAGTGATGTTTTCTGGACCTCCAGAGAGAGTGCAAGAGAGACAAGCAGCAACAACATTGTTAGAAATATTCAAGTTAGGTTGCTTATATAGATGAAAGGGTGTTATGAATGATTGGAAATGAACACGACTGTGATGAAATTCTACCTTTGTAAGGAGATTTGTTTTAAGGAAGTAGGCAAATCTATAATTGGACTGATTCAACTAAATAAAACCATAACAATAGAATTATTTTTGTGGTAAAAAAATCAACATATCTTATTATTTAATAAATTTTTTTAATAATTCATTTGTCATACAAAATATGTGTGAAAAAGAAAATCAATTTTACCTTGTTAAAAATAATGCCTTTACAATATGATTCATCGATTGTATGCCTGCCAAAATACTATGAATAATTGTTTTTGCTTTTTTTCTAATAAAAAAGATATTTATAATGTCTCATTCTTTTAACTAATATTGTATAAGTAAAATTAATTTATTAATATAATTTTATAATTAAATAATAGTAACAAACACAAAAATGTATAATATATTGCAAAAATCGCCAACTTTTACCAAAGAAAATGATGAATTAATTTTTCTATCTCGAAAGAATTGTACCAAAACATTTATTTTATGTTTATAATTAATTAAATATTATAAATATGTTGAAAAGTTTCAATTAAATTTTACTAATAAATTAATTAAATAATTGAACAAAAATAATTTATTTGAAAAATCATTTTCTAAAATTCAAAATTATAGTTTATTTATATTATAAGGTGATATTAATTTAAAACTAAAAACATTTGTTTAAAAAACTAAAACAAATAGAATATGTTCAATCCTTACAAACCAGAACCAGACACAAGCTGAGGAGTCTGGCACTTTTTCTTCCCAATCATAATACCCGACTTTCCTCTCTCTGACCTGTCGTGTGTCGGCATGACTGGAATTGACTTTGTTGACGTCCTCACCATTTCGCTCACAACCATTTTTGACTCAGGAGAGTACTCCACGTCGTCAAACAACGACCGAATGACATAGTCAACAGACAATGGATGTGGGGACAGTGATGGGAACATAGCTGGGAACACTGGCTGAATATCAAATTCGTCGAAGTGTTGTACCAAGTATATGAAAAGTTTTAATTGACTGTCTGGGCCTATTTGCGTCACAAAAAACTTCGAGAAGTGCGCGAGCAGTGTCAAGTTGTATGGGTTGAATTTTGTCCATGAACTGAATAAGGCAAGGAGGGTTCGTAATATCGAAAGTGCCATCGTACCATCAATAGCGCCAATCAACTTCTTCGATATCTTTTCTAAATTTTCGTCGTCCAGACGGGTATTTCTCAATGATAAAAAATCACCAGATAACACCCCAAACAACGGTTTGTCCAATGTCGACAAATATAAATAAAGCATCCCAACTAACACACCACTCTCTTGACTCTTCAGGTCGACTTCCTCCCCTGTCTCGCATTGCTCAAGTATTTTAGCGGCGGCCTCCATGTCAAACGACGAGAAAAAAGTGTCGTTAAAAAAATTAGGGTTGTAATACAAAGCGTTGCAAATTGCGTAAAAAAGTGGGTGGAGGCCGTACATTTCCGCTTTCAAATATTCCACTGAAACGCCTGAAATTTCGTTCTTTCCATGATACAATGAAATGAGTTGGTGGATGAGTTCTGAACTTCCTGTGATGATCAAAGGACATGTTTTCGTGAATTCCGTGTTTTCTGCGAAGAAATGGATTTCGTCTGCCATTGGAAGATAAACCATTTCCGCGTCGTTGTTAGGGATGATCTTCACTCTTTTATTCTCTTCGATGAATTTGATAATAAAAAATGGGTGTGCGTGGATCAAGCAAATTTTCCCTTTGTTTGAGTTTGTGTTATATCGATAGAAATATGAAGAATCCAAAAACGAGTCTTTCACATTTCTAGTAAATGAAGTGATTGGTATCATCAAGATCATTGAAAATGAATCCATCACGTAGTTATTTAAAGGAATGTCCATGTTCACAAAGCTGTCCGGCTTCTTTTTGACTAAATGCACAAAGACATGTTCCACTTGAACGTCTAATAACACTCGCAACACGGTTTTGAGTTGATTCATCGTCATACTAATATCAATGGGTAACCCTATTTCCTTCTTCCCTATTTTAAACATAACACTTTGGCTTTGTCTATACATAGTAACTATCCCCTTTCCATCTCGACTGATATATTTCCGTTTGATGTTTTCAATACTCTCTTTCACACTAATCACTTCAACTTCATTCTTATTCACTACAACTATCTTGCTGCTTTCTATATCTTTCTCACTCAATCCAAACTCCCGGACCATTAACTCTTTTAATGGTAACGGTCCCATACACTTATATGTGCGTCTTTTGTGTGCTAAATAACACCGAATTTCAATATAGTCTTGGGGTACTTCTTTCTCGTCTTCACTCCCTACTAACACATATTTCTCTTTCCCCGCAGGCGCTTCTATACTTCGAGAACGGTCAAACATAACAACGTCACTTTCACTATGTCCCTTCCCAAGCAGATCTTTAATAAACCCGCTGATCATCTCGTCTTGTTTAAAACAATATAACCGCTGTTGGAACGTTGAGACGTTTTGTGCTATTGCAGAGAGTTTTTGGCACTTAACAAAATTGATCAGTTTGTCTGCCGTCTGTGTTTTATTGCCATCGTTTGTGAAGAGCATATCCGACAAAAACAGTCCAATGTACGGCACGCATGGAGTGTGTTTAGCTTCATCGAGTCGCTTTCTATACGAAGACCAGTTGTTCTCCGGTGATGCAAAAAACTCGAGTTTCTGTACAATTTCTTGTGACCGCGTCTTAAGTCCCTCAAACGTCTTTTTAAGTCGATGAATCGCAGAAGTCGAAAAGAGGGTTGTTACACAAACCACAACATCAAAATTTTGTATCAAATACGACTCATACGCGATATCGACGATGTGTTCTATAATGCGAATTCGCTTCTTCAAGTCGAACTCCGAAAGAACCAAATTCGAAAAGAATGTTTGCAACTCGTTAAACGTCTTCACACACTTAGAAAGTGCTTGGCACTTCTCTTTGCTTGTGTTCCAAAGGAACAATTCAAACAGTTCAATTCCTCTAAAATACTGTGATGATATCAACGTGATTTGTTTCGCAAATGTGACTGGTGGGATGTCGAGAAAGGTTGGTTTGGTACCATCCAACAAAAATGGGAAAGGTAACAAGTTGTCGTCGTGGATCTCATTCTCCGCCATCGAAAACACAAACTTCTCCTTACAGATTTGCGACTTGAGCAACAACGCCTGTTTCTTCATTCCATATTTGGTCATCCGGTCGATGAAAATATTTAAAGTGTTTAACGCTTGATTCTTTTCTTCTTCCGGCAACAATGGGAAAATAGTGTTTGCCCAATATGAAAGTATACTAACGACACGCGCTCGCACTATAGTTGAAAGTTGGCAATTAATTGAGACGGCTATTTCAAGTCGTTGCAAATATTGGAACAAGACTTCCTGCGTTGTTGCAAAGAGTCGATGCCCCCAAATGAAGTCTCTGAATAAATCGGGAGAGGTACAAGAAAAGCTGATGAGGTGGTCGAGGGTGTCAAACTCGATTTTATCTGGAATTTTTGGGAAGTGCATTTCAAGTTGTTTTTGTGTGAGTTGACCGGGCGTTGGTTCGCGAAAGTCGGGTGGTATAGATGTGTCGGGTTTAAGTGTTGTTAAATGCCGTTCTATTTCTGCCTGAAAGACAACGCTCGAGTCTGGTGTTTTTTCCCCTTTTCTGTAGACTAAAAGGGAATAGAAGTTAGTGTCTTGCATGAAATGAGATAGAATGGATTTTTCGTGGTATAATTTTCAGTTTCCATTTTGGTTCGGAACAATATGTGTTTTTTACAATGTCATGTTTGTTGAAATTAACAAGGGAAGAGTAAAGAGGATTTGGAAGGTATCTTTTTAAAGACTCTAAAAAAACTCACAAAATATCACCATTCGGCTTTTTTTGCTCTTTTTAATTAATTTTGTGTTATTGTGTTTAGGTTCTTACTTTTTACTGCATTTAGAGTGTATCAAGACCACAATGGTCTGAAAATAATATTATTCGAATTATTCAAATTCCACATTTCCTTTATTTTTATTTTTCTGGTTATTTAAGCATATCATCATTTTTGGTATTAATATCTTTATCATATTGACTATATTGGTAAAATAAAGATTTGCATGCCTTGAATTACTTTTATTTTCCATATTATATTTATTAATAATTTTGTTATTGAAATTACTGTTTGTCATAATCAAATTTAATTAATATATAATTATTAAATTTACTATTGATTTAAAAATAAATATTTTAAATCAATACAGGGTATCCCAAAATACTATGGATGTGCCAAATCTTTTTAGGCCACAAAATCGGGTCGCAACTCTTAAAAATAGAGCATTTTATAAATAAACAGACAAATTTTATTTTTTTTCTGAACAAATAAATTGTTAAATATTATTCAATTAATTAACAGATCAGTTCCAAAATTGCAACATGTTAAAAATACGACATCTAGATTATTTTTAGAAATACGAACTGGAATGAAACAATTTTTAATTATTACACAAAAATTTATTTTGATAAAAACGAATAACTTCAAAACAACACAAATAACCTCTTACAACACAGAAATCATTTCTGACTTCTTTGATTTCTAAAAACCACATTTTTGAATCCGCTTTATCCTACAATTTAACATTTTTACTTATTATTGTCTTTGTTTTTGAACAAACTTATCTTTATATTTACAACTTCGGTTTCACTTGACACACTTTTTTTAAACCATCATTTGAACATTCAAACCAATTAGCAGACATCACCAATTTAAAATTCAAAAATTAATAAACGCATACAGCATGATATTGTAAATAAGTTGACAAATATTGTAATATCCTGTACATGAGTTCTATATAATGTAGTTATTTAGAAAAAAGTTTTTATTCAATTTTTGTTTGAAATTGCAGACACAATAGTTGAATAAAATGATAGATGATGTCGTGATGATAATTTGAATTTGTTGTTTTAAACAATATTTTATGAGCATGGTCTTGCACCGATAATAAATGAGTACTTGATTGACATCAATACCCATTTTAGTGGAACAATTCCTTTGACTTTCGACAATGAAAATCAAGTGAAAGTTTATTTAAATAGTCCTTTATGACTTTGATTTTTGTGTTTGATTCAGAAAAACCGAAAGCATAAGCTTTCTGATAATCAACTTTTTCGGGGTATTTTATTAGTGCAAAAAGAGGGAAAGTTTAATTAAAAAAGATGGAAAATAATGTTGGAAAATGTTTGTTTTTTCGACTTTAACTGTTATGTTGTTTTATTTTTTTTATTTTTTCTGATAATTCGATTTTCTGGTTATTAACAAAAAAAGAATCAAAACATACGAAATTTTGAATTGATAATTTAAATTGAATATTTACTGCTTCCGATATATTTTTAACATTTAGATATTATATGTTTTCTTGTTTAAAGTTGTATTTTTTTTACAGCATGAAACATCCAAAAACAAGATTGGCATACAAAAAACAAAAACATACAAGAGATTAAAAACTTATTTTTTTGTTAAAAAGTTGAATTAAATTTTAGAAATCATTTATCAACACATAATTTAATAGTTGAACTTCACATGGTAAAAAATTGATGCTTAAAAACATTTTGTAATATGTTATGACCATTACAGTTGTTTATTTTTAAGGTTTTTTTAATATTTTTAATAAATTTTTTACAGCCGACAAGTAAATTACTAAATTTTGATGTTACACATGTCTAAACAAATATAAAAACTCTTGATTCGCCTCGTTGTTGAGATTAAAAAAAGCAAATTAAAAATATTTCTTTAAGATTATTATCATTATAAAGTTTGATGTTTCAATGTTTTAAATTGTTGAATATGTACAGTAAAATCTGTTTTTAATCAAATACATTTAAATATAAATCAAATGAAAATTAACTCGTTGTTTATCATAGAAATTCAATTTTAAATACATTTTTTTTTCTTGTATTATTTTATTATTACAGTTCTTCTTAAAACATTTTCATGGAATTCAAATACATAAAAGAGTTAACATGCCATGGTTAAAGTAATTGCAATTTTTAATGACGATTTCATGGACTTAATAAAAATAGCATACATTTTAAATATTTTTTAGTCAAATAATAAACAGTATATACTACAATTTAAAAAGTTTATAAATTAAATTATTCACAAATAACTTAAATGTGATATATAAAACGAATAGTCACAACTAAAATGTTTTTATATTATTGCTGGAAAATAAACAACACAAATTGTTTTTGGTTTGAACAATTGTTTTCTGTTTTTAAGCTTTTTTATATATTTTAATATTTAAAATTTTTAATAATAATTTAAAATATATAATTTGTTTTTACAATATAAAATATTTTCAAACAACACAATTAAAAAAACAATTTATAATTAGGCATGATCATTAAATGTAATATTTACTTAAGTTGTTGAAATATTAATATATAACTAAATTGAATTGATATAGTCTTTTTAATGATAACAACTAAGTGACAATTTAGTTTTAAAATATAAATTCTATGATAAATTATAAAAAAGCTTATTGTAATGATTGATCAATAACTATGATCTTCCACGTTTTTATCTCTTCAAATATAGAAACCTAAAAATTGTGATACATTTAAGAATTTTGTTTTAACCCCCTTTAAACGAAAATTACAAACTAAGTTTTTAAAAAGAATAACAACCACAACTTAAATTATTCAAAACTGAGTGTATGATCATTTTATGTTAACAATAATTTGATGAAAATTATTATAATATACGAATATCTTTTATATTTTCTGAAAATGTCACTTATTTGTTTTGTTTTAATTTGAAATACATTATTCAATCAACTTAATAGTTTTTTGTTTTTTCAATTTAAAAATTAACTTTATGTGAAAACTTTTTTATAATCAAAATATTAAATTCTTATTGTTGTTTAACTTTAGATCACATAACAGATAAAAAAAATATAAATACATATATTTGTTTTTCGTTCAAAAAATTTTTCAAATAATATTTTACATTTGGTTGAATAAAAAATAATAATATTATGTCTCCATGTAATAACAAATGTATCAATATTTTTTTGTTTGACATTTTATAAAAAAAATACACTAACAACAATTTACAATTTAATATATCAACATTAATATAGATTATAAAATTACTTTAATTGACAATTATTAATGAATTATTAGCTATTTTCAACATTTTCATTATCATTTAAAGTGTTTTAATGAAGCCAAATTGGAATTTATTCAAATTATAATTATATTAAAAACTAATTTTGAACAAAAATAAAAACACATTTATAATTTATTTTCTTTGTTGTTTCAAATTCAAACATATTAAACATTTAAATGTTTATAAACCAAGTGTTTTTAATAGATCAATTGAATGGTTGTATATATATAATATGTTTCTTTTTTATTCTTTTTGTACTTTTTAAATTGAAAAGGAAAAATAAAAACTTGTTTAAAAGAAAAAAGTTGAAAAAAATATTAAAATAAAAAACTAAATGTTTAATGTAATTTTCAAAAAAAAGTTGTTTAAAATTGAAAAAGAAAGAATACACCAAAACCTCTCATTAGTAGATTAACTGGGAAAATAAAACCCTTCAATAATGGTTATGAAATACTTTATTTCCTTTCCCCTCAATAAGTTTTATTATAGTTTTGATTTGCTGAAATGTTTCTTTAAGAGAGGTTTCTTAATAGGTGATTTGTTAATGAGAGGTTTTATTGTAAATAATTAATTTATCTTATTCTTAATACAGTTGTATTTCTTTTATAATAATATATTCAATTTAATTAGTAATGTATAATACGTAGCAACGTTTTTTCTGTGTGTTACTAAAATATTATTGTAAAAGTAACAATTGGAATAATTCTGCTTATAATATTTCATTTTTGTAATATTTTAATAATCTAGACGCAAATATTCATCAACACTTTTTGTCAATTTATTCAAAAGTTTTGTATGTTTAGTTACACAATTTTAAAATGCAATATTTTAACAACATTGAACAAAATTCAAGTGGTCTAAAAAACATGAAAACTCTAATTTATCAAACAATTTGGTTTTTAAAAAGTTTATATTTTGTGTATAAAAATAAAAAAAGCATAATGGGAAATCATCAATAATTGAATTGATATTTTAGTAATAACATGTCAATTAAAAAACAAGGACGTTGTTCTGTGTCAATTTGTTAATATTATTTTATTTGTTTGTTTTAAAATTAAATATGATACATAAATATACATTTATTATTTTGCCTAAATATTTAATATTTTTACAAAATGTGATTATTAAATACGAAATTTTAAGTTTAACATTCATTTCAAATCGTTGTTTCAAAATTATAATCAATAACATTGATCACAATATTAGCATTGTTTTATATCTCAACTTCTAAAAAATAAGATATAACATCAATTGAAATGTTTTTTATGTATTTTTCAATACAAAAATGCATATATACTTAATTTGAAATCTGTGTGTAAAATATTTTGATAGAATTTGACGTTACATGTTTTCTAAAAATATTTAAGTTTTATTAATTTATATTTATTAACTCATAAACAACGTAGAAGTATAATAACATAAATTATCACAGTTGTTTTGAAACTTTTGCTTTAAAACTTTTAAATTTTTACCATTTGAACTTGGTGTTGTTAAAATATGATCATTTGTGTATAAACTGTAATACATAATTTAAAATGATTGTTATTCAATTGTATATAAATATCTTATTGACAAAAAATCAAGTTGTTAAATAAATTGATAAATATAATCATGATATCGATACAAAACGTTTATATTATTATTATTCATTTATTAAATTTGTTTACAAAATTGTCCAAAAATATACATGAATCCATTATTAATGACAAAATTTATTATTACCGACAAATTTAATTCAACTTTATGATAAATTGAACAAAATTTTATCTAATTAATTATGACAATTTATTTTCTTTTGAGTTTCAATACGAATTATTATTTTGAAAACTTTAGTTGTAAAATCAAGAATTTGGTATATAAACTGTTTCCAAAAAATCGATAGTACTTGTTTTATGTTAAACTGTTTTAAACCAAATGTTAAAGGAAAACATCGTAATCTATTTTTATTTCGATATTGTTTAAATTGTAATTGTTATACCATGTTTTTTAACTAAAAAAATATTTAATCTAAAACAAAATTACCTAAGATTAATTTACCAATCTTGTTTTTCAATTTTTTGGTATTGTTTAAAATCGCTCAAATGTCCAATAGGTCCACCTTTTTCGTTTTTGCACATTTCGAATCTGTAAGTCATCGAATTCATCAAATTGTTAATAATCGAGTATGGTATATTATTCCAAACTCTTTTAAGATGCTTGAATAACAACTTTTTTGTTCGGAAAACACTTTTTTCGTTTCTTAATCTCCTTTCCAAAATTCCCCACAGATGTTCTATTGGTGACAAGTCCGGGCTTGATGATGGCCATTCAAGCAATTTGACCTTTTTACTTTTAATCCATTTTACTGTTTCTTTTGCTTTGTGAGGTGGCGCCCCATCTTGCTGAAAATAAAAGTCGCCTTTTCTCTCTTTTTTCATGTGTTCGAAAATTCTATTGTGTTCAAGCATTCGACGATAATCTGCCGCTTTCATTTTCTCAGAACACAGAATCAAATCCGATTTGTAGTCTTTACCAATGGCTCCCCACACCATTATACTGGCATTGTATTTTGGTGTTTGGCCAGTGTATTTTTTGAATTTTTGAATTAACATTTTTCTTTTGGCTTTGGTTTTTGCAACTTTAATGTTTTTTAACATTTCACCAAATGTGTTTCTTCTTCTCCAACAATATAATTTGTCTGGAAATAAACAATAACGGGATTCGTCAGAAACAATCGCGGTTTGCCATTTTCTGAGATTTCTTTTCTGTAGCATTTTTTTGCAAAAATCATATCTTGTGTTAATTTGTTTTTGTGTAAGAATTTGAGTTGGCTTTTGTTTGCAATATTTAAATCTGTGTGTTCTTCTTAAGTTGTAAACTGTTGACTTGGACAAGTGATTGTTTAGTGCAATCTTTGAACAAGTTGAAAATGGATCATTTTCAGTTTGTTTGACGATTTTATCGATAACATTGTTGGTAACTTTAGTGGGTCGCCCTCTTTTTACGTTTTTAATGGCGATTTTGTCTTCAATCATCTTTTTTACTCGCGCAATTCTGTTCGGAGACACTTTCATCATTTCTGTGATAACAGAATATGAATAGCCTTTATGTAAAGCTCCGGCTATAAGGGTATCAATTTTGTTCATTTGTTTTATTAAGATTAAAAACTGAATTTGTATTACCAACTTTTAGTATTTTTGTTTGTTTAACATAAATTGAAATTCAAAATCATTTACCAAACAACTAATAAATAAGACGAATAACTTTCATTTTATATTGTTTTGCCGTTGGTATTTTTACATCTTTTGTTTTTTACATTCAAATCATCTCAAAACGTAATTGTTTTATTAAATTATCAATTTGTTAATTTTCTTTATCTTAATCATTTTATTCTTGAAACCAATTTTATATTAATTATTAGTGTTTAATTTCAATTCATTACCAAAAGCTTTTATTTCAAAAAAGTATTTTCATTTGATTATAAAAACATTTTTGGTTTCTTGTTATGAATACAAATTTGTTGCTACTGAAAACAATTCAAAATTGAAGTACATTTTTGAACTTATTTAACAGGAAAATAACCAACAAAAATATCTCGAGTAAAAACGTTGCAAAATAATCAGAAAAAAGACTGAAAATAAAAATAAATATTTTTTTCAAATAAAAACATGACAGAAAAAAGAAGGAGAAATATATTTCCCAAAATATAGGACTTATTATTAAAACAACAAAACCCGAAAATGTGCGATAATTTCAAATTTTCTCACTATCGATTTATTAGAAACAGTTTATAATTATTTTTTTGTTTAATCTGTGCAATGTATACTCTGTGTTATAACACAATTCATTGTTTATGCATCATCTTCATTATATGTGTAACAACAAATTGAAATAAAATGAAAGATATTTTTTTATCATCTTTACATCAATAATTTAAACATCTTTGTTCCATCTTACAAACATCTTATTGATGTTTTAATCGTTAATTTCATGTATTTTAATATGAAAAAAGTTTTCAATCTTGTAAAATTGATTGTAAAATGGAATTTTTTTTGACTTTTTTATGAGAATTTACATCATTTTTTTCTAACAAATAATTTTTCAATAAAAAAAACCGCAACAAATCGGGAAATATTTTTTTTTCGTTGAAAAAACAATCTTTGGGTATTTTTTCCCGCCGGTTTGCATTAAAAA